ATGTGATTGTTGGAGCGAAAAATGAATTAAATTTCATCAAGACTATATCGTAGTAAGAGACGAACACAAGTTATAAAAGTAGTAGAGGTACTCTTGTTCCACGTTCAACTTTTGCGAATGCTTTTCGAATTATTCAACTTATCCCTTTTTTATCGAATTGGGTCTTATTTTAGCAGTGCTGCACTTCTTTTGCGTTGATCGTTACTCATATTCGTACATTTGGTTTTACATTTTGCTAGGTTTGGTTATGTACGTATTTGTGACTTCTTTCCCTTTCATGGTAGTTAGATGGATGAAATGTGAATACTGCATGTACTGTCTGTGGTCAGGTATGTATCATACAAATGTTTCACAGCCCAAGAAACCTCGGTTCCATTTATTCTGGTCAGGTGCTTTCCATGACAGTTCCTTGAAAAAGAAAGGTGTTCCTGACCTATAGGGAGTAAAGGCGACACCTGACAGAAAGCATTGTTGAAAGTAAAGCGTATTTTAAAGTTTATATAAAAGTTAGTATGAAGTTAGTTAGTTAGTTAGTTTAAAGTTCATTCGTGTTTTCCCGAAAAATGTGATCCCTGTTTTTTTATTTATTTATTTTTTACGTGTTCATTGTATGCATGGATTTGTATTTAATGCAAATTTTATTGGATTTCAGAGCTCAACGATTAATTGCAAGTTATCTCACTTCCGAGAATTCGGGAAGGGTGTTTTGAAGGTGTACGGAACTCATCCGGATGCATTTGTTCAAGCTGCCATTCAGCTCACGTATCATCGAATGCATGGAAAGTGAGTTTTACTGTTCTTTTGTGTGGATATTTATTGCAAATACTGTATTACGTGTTTTTGTAATCCATGGTTTCTCTGCACTTCTTGAATATCGCAGTTCGAACGTTTTCTTGGATTTTTAAAGTTGAAAAGTCCTCTTTAGATGGAAGTTTTACTTCCTAATCGGAAAAAATAATCAATATGAATATACTTCATCTGGATTTTTGAGTTATCGATGTTTGGGGAATTGGTATCCTAAATTTTGAGTTGTTTTTTATGGTATCTCTTCGAGCCTTTGATTATGTTCAATTCCGTTTACTTTGATTCAAGTTTGGAGTTCTGCTGTAAGGTTGTGTGCTGTTGGCTCGGTTGAGACTTACTCGGTTTTTTATAGAGGCGACATCTACCTGATATTTGGAATGCAGGGTATAACAGAAAATTGTCGAAATTGCCTTAAAGTCATTGGTGAAATTACTTTTAAAAGTAAGGTAAATTTGGTGATGCGTATTTTTTGAAGCAATTTGTTTTCGATGGTTGGAAATGCTCGCATAACATTCATTTGCGATTTTTTTCTGATTTTCAGACCGGGCAGCGCTTATGAAACTGCAACTACTCGTCAGTTCTACCATGGACGTACTGAGACTTGCCGAACTTGCACTTTGGAAACAGTTGATTTTGCGAAAGCCATGGACGACGTAGATACCGAAGTTTGTATTTGCTGAACTTGGTTGACTATTGGAATTGCGTTTCAGTCTCGATAATTGTCTCTTTTCGAAGACTTGATCGTATATAGAAGTCTAATAAGCTAAGTTTTAATGTCATTTATTACGCCAAAAAAAATCGAGGAGAGAGAATTCATTGATTTTTTTTCACGAATTTGCACTTCGGAAACTGTTCATTTTTTCGCTAAATTTATCATTCGCTAAATTGGGTTGACTATTGGAATTGCGTTTCAGTCTCGATGCTTTTCTTTTTTAAGACTTAATCTTAAAGAAGTCTAATAAGCGAATGTTTAATGGAAATTATTCCACAAAAAAACAGAGGTGAAGAGAGAGCACATGGAATTTTTTTCAACACCTCTGGCGTCGTGTTTCAGACGGTCTTACGTTTACCCTCTAATCTTCCAGGGGAGGGGGAAACCTGAAGCTTTCTTTTTATTCGGCCACTTTTTCAAGACATTTTTGTGAAGGAGAAACGTGTATATTTCTTCGCTTTTATAGCATGAACATGTATTTTCGAGGTTTCTTGGGAACTTAATTTTCTTCTTCTTCTATTGCCATCAGGAGACGACGAAATGGAATCTGTTGAAGAAATCTCTGGACAAGCATCAGCAGCTGATGCGCAAAGCGCAGGGAAATATGGGCTGTGACAGACACATGTTTGGGATGCAGATGATTGCGAAGGAGAATGGAATGTTTGACCAGCTTGTTGGCGAGGTGTTCGGTCCCGGTGCATGGACCAAGAGGTATAAAGTGCAGATCCGGGTTTCTTTGGGTTTTCGATTCATTCTTCAGCGAAAGTTGAAGTCGCTGCTATGGCCTCACGTGACGATGACCTTGTCGCAAATTTATTTCACGTTTTGTTGAGTTATTCCTAATGATTGTGAATTTTCGGAGTACAGTAAAATTTCGTTGCGACCATCAATGCCGTCACGAAAACATTTTTCAGTGAATTAAAATGTTGCTCAGATCCTGCCATTAAGCCCTTCAAGTAAATATTAGAACATTTTCGTTGTACACTTTTCAATTTCAGTGTAAAAGTAGATTCTCCGTGCAAAAATTTCCTATCCAAAATGAGACTGACCGGTTCTTTTAGGATGGATGGAAGCTTTAGTTGATGACAAATATGTGTCCAAGTGTTTCCTCGCATAATCCTCCCAGAATGAAGGGATTAATGCAACTGATCAAATGCATGATTGAAACCATTTTTTTTCTCAGATCACTCAGTTTTTTGAACAGTTATAAAAAAGCTGAGGTTGCCATAAAATATAGATTAAATGGTTTACAGGAAAGTCTGAAGTGGAACTTTGTTACTGTCATCAATTTAAAAAATGTTTTTGTGAAAATTATTTATTGTAACAAACTTTTTCTGTTGGAGTGTTGGGGACTTTTGAAGTCCCAAAAGTGTGTTGCAACAATATTTTATTGTAGTATTGTGTGTCACCCCGGGAAAAAAGGCGTTGTGCAAAGCTATGTGAATTCTGTGAAGAATATCAAACTCATTAAAACTACTGTTCAGTTCAGCGGGTGATGCAAAGAAGCATATAATATAACAGTACTGCACAGTGACTCACGATGAGATGATAAAAAGCGAGAATGCATTTTTCTGATATCAGATTTCTGAAGAATATAAATAGGCGCAATATATATATTTTTTACGTGTTTTTTATCCTGATGGCCTGCCTTTTATATGTGTTAACAGTGGCGGTGATGGACAGTTCAAACTGTCGACGAGTCTGCTTGGCTACACGCCCATGACCGGTGGGATGGTGGCCATGTGTGCCGAAGGCTATGGAGTGTTCTACAGCATCGAAGACGATTGGTGAGCCTCAAATAATAATACTGTAGTAATAATGATGGCGGCATCAAATGCCTCGCCGGAGACGTTTGATCCTTCTGTTTTTTTTCTTTTATCCGTATGTTCAACATGCCTGATTGATTAAATGAGTCACACTATTAACTCCAGAGATATTAGGGGCTATGAGCTTGAAAGAAATGGAAATTTTTGACCAAAAGTTGAACGGCTGATTTATTTTCTTTTGAAGTTTCCGAAAATAAACGATTCGATTTTTGCTGTCTATATACTGTTTTGTTCTTAGATGGTAATTTATTTTCAGAATGTGGCCCGTTATTGCATTAAAGCACATTTCTGGACTTGAGATTTTTTTCTCAGTTGAAACCAAAACCGTTTAATCAATTTTAATGCTCATTTTTTTCCTGAACTTTTGGTAAATTTGTGACTACAGGGATAGATTATTGTTCTTGCAAATTATTGCGAGAAGTACTGTACTGTATAAACTTTTGACTCCGTTGCGAAAAATTGCCGCACAGATAAAACATAAAATTTATAGATTGATCAGTGGAACAAGAAAAACTACATGCATTTGAACTTGGGAGTACAGTATTTTGAAAAGAAAGTTTGACTTGCAGCATGTCGGAAAAATATCCGCGAAATTTATAAACTCGAGTTGAAATCGAAAACTGATCACATCTCAGACGTTGTCTCTCTCGGGTTTTAGTAAATTTTCCAATATTGCCTTGAGCAATTGATCCACAATTTTTCTCAAAATTTAATCAGAGAAATTTATAAATTGTATTGCCAGGGACGATGGTTCTTGTTCGTTTGAATTCCTTTTCTTTTTAAATTGTTCTTATGCAAACCTAGATTTTTAATTATTTTGAGAGGTATTTTTCCATATGCCATCTTTTTAATTTTACAAATATCAATTGTGAAAAGAGAATGTAATATAAAATTTTTGATTTTTTGCGAGCTTTATTTGAAAATTTCAATCGAAATAAGTTTGAGAAGTATGGCTGTATGAACATACAGCACCTGATGTGGAATTTCACCCCTCATTTTTTTTCACGCAGCATAAATTACGCCGTGTCCAACTGGGTCGGAGCCGGAACAGACCATGAGGAATTTTCCCGTGTTTTCGAAGATTCCCTGCTGGACATGGAAAGGCTAGCCGCTTGCAACTACAGCGCGCCTCTTTGAAATCCCACCCGACGTGACCAGTTTTCTACTAAGCCGTTTTTCTCTCTCCTTTTTTCCCAATCCGGATTTTCTTGATTTTGCGGAAGCTGAAGTTGCTGCTGCAAAACGTACGTGACAATGATATCGTCGAAATTCATTTGACGTTCAGGAGGCGGTTGTTCCTGATGATGGTGATTTTTTTTTTGTGGAAGCGTATTCACCTTGGTGAAAAATGTGTCGTGCAGAACCAATTGAATTCGATGTAAAATATTAAAGTTAATGCCAACTTTTGAACAAATGACACATATTATCTACGATGAGATTTTATCCAAAAACTGAGATGAAATTTGAATGCTAAGAACTATTGTCTCACAAGATACAAGTATTACAGTAATCGGCCTGTAAAGGAAGTTGGTAATGTCAGATACATTTTGGCTGATTTTTCTGATGATTCGTTTTATTTGTTAAGCTACAGTTTGCTTCTTGACTTGTGCACACGCTGCTTGAGAGAAGATTAAGTGATGAAAAGCAGGTTAGTGTATGCTTACTTGAATATTTATTTGACCGAATTCATGAGAAAAAAAACCAAAGAAAAGACGCAAAAAAGATTTGAATACTTGAATCCAGTGGAGCAAAAGTATCCAAGAAGCGTGTCTGGTTTCTAGTGGAAAAGTCAAGAATGAATCAGTACAGTATAGCAAATTGGAATTTCACCATGAGAAGCCTGTATTAACCCAAAAATATCACTTCACGTACTTTTTTTGTTGACTGGATGCTTGTTCATTTAAAATGTAATTGAAAGCTTCTTTTAATTTTGTGCGTGGTATTGGAAGTAACTGCACTTATTGGTCGAGCAAAAGCAGGCCACTTTTTTCTTTTAAATCAGTTTTGTGCGTGTCTCCACAGACCGATTGTGACAGGAAGGATGTGAAGGTTTATTTTATGAATTTGACAGAACGGTTTTTGGCGAGGAATTCAAGCATTCCGTGCTGCTGTTGGATATTTGTGAATTTTTCGAACAAGTTTTGGTGTTCTGGGAATGGTATCTTGTGGCAAGAAGGAATCTTACGCAATTGACTAACTTTTACAGCAAGGTTAAATCCCTTTTTATGTTCGGTGATTATTCATGCTTTCCGTGGTTCATGTGTCGTTTTGTGTGGTCTTTTCTATTGTCTTTGTAGGATCTGTGCGTGAGGCGCAAAATTATTTCGACGAAAATGAGCAATGCAAGTTGAACAAACAAAAAGTTATCCAGTTTATAATTTTGATTGTGATCGCGAATGTCTCGGTTTTCTTCAGGTAAAAGCTTGAGTTCATTCTTTTGGAACCCAAAGAGCAACTTCTGAGGCAAATAGCCCAACTTCCCGAGTCAATAGTTACTTTGTGTTTGTTGGTTTTTTTGCATTTGTTCGCGCGATTTTATGAAATTCTGTACTCTAGTGTAAAATATACGAGGTTTCACATACGTGTGTACTGAATTACTGATTGACTGCTCCTTTGCCAAGTATTGATCAAGTCCCATTTTCAGGGTTATGCAACTTCATGCGCATTGGCTTTGTGTAACAGAAAAACTTTTAATTTTTGAATCTGACATGGTCAATAGGGATAAAATTCGTTGTAACGAAATTTGCGTGTAGTACGAACATGCGGGTTGAACTTACACACTCGAGCTGTTTTGCCACGCACGTATCAGAATGCATTCATTCATCAGCAGAATAACGTCGGGCAATCTATCCTTTTTAAAAAGGAAAGCGTTCCCTCTATAATGGTATCACCCACTGCTGCATCAAAAACAAAGCTCAAGACGCAGAAGAATAACCCATCATCTCAGGAACGTTTTAATCCGAAATTCAATCAGTACATGTATAAATGTCCACACTTCCAATACAAATTGAAAAAACTAAAATAAAAACAAAACTGGAAATAACCTGGATCACGATGTCACACGGCGCTGCATGTCAGTATAGTCGGAAAACCTCAATGCCAACCGAACACAAAATGACAGATGATCAGATAAGCGTGAGCGATGAAGACGCTAAGGATCATAATCGGCACTCCCGTCCTGAAAAAAAAAACGAGGAAAATATCGATTACTGTGGCTAGAGATCTTGAAAAAATGCACACGATTCGTCAGACAATTTTGCTTTGAATTGAGTCGTGAACTTTTCTATACTGTACTGTACAGAAAATTTTAGACGACTTCCAGCAGAAATGGTAAATCTTGGACATTTGCTGTTGAGTCGATATTCCACATGCCCTTTGACGCCGAGGAAATCATTGTCATGATCATGCAGTTGTAAACTAAATAGCTTTGGGGAAATTGCCATTCACATGTTCTTGAAGGGGAATTACCCAGAACATTTAACGAAATCCCAGCATTTTTGCTGTCATTTCTGCGATGCAAAAAAAAAAAATGTGCGTCTGATTTGTAAGAATTACAGAATAACATTATGCGAAAAATTCCTGACCCGCCTCATGACGTGTGCTGGTACTAAATTTTAAAATTCGAAGAAACCCCTGAGCTAAAAATATAGCTCAAGACACAGGGATATACGCACTTCCGAAACTCGAAAACTCACCGAACAAATCGCAGAAAACTAATCTTGTAGCCATGCTGTCCAGCGACTCCCGCACACACAACGTTGGCCGATGCTCCGATCAAAGTCCCATTTCCTGCAAACAGTTATCAAAACACTGTCTCAATCCCGGCTTGTTCGATTTTAATTTTTTTTTCAGCTACTCAAAAATTATACCTCCCAAACACGCGCCGAAAGACAGTGCCCACACAAGCGGCTCGAGTGGCAAGTTGAGCCCAGAACTCGACGCCAATCTCGTCACGATGCCGATCATCATGGCTGTAAACGGGATGTTGTCAATTAAGCTGGACGCGAAAGCACTCGTCCATATAACTAAAGACACGGCAGCGAGGAGTCGATAATCCGGCGAAACTGTGAGTATCACGTTTTCTATCTGCAGTCCAATGTAATCGAGGAATCCCAGGCGCTTCAATGTCTGAAAAATGAATAAATGAAAGAAATTTAATTAAAAATAAATCGCGTAGATTCCGACAAAAGAAAAGAAAATCGACTCGTCTTACACGCACGCGTGCATGATTAAATGTTTCTTTACACCTCTTTCGATTATCTGGAAAAATAAAAAATAAAACGTGCATAGGCTGCATTTTCCCGCGAAAAATTTTCTTCGCAGAAAAATACAAACCACATGCACACGAGAAATCTGATCTTTTTTCTGGAGTATTATACAACAGTAGCAGAATAAGAGAAGGTGGATCATAGTTATTCGAGGTTGAATAAGCCCACGAGTGGCTTTTAAGGGCCGACTAAAAATATGAAGAATTGAATTTTCAAAAGAAAAACAGCATAAATTAAAAACACAAAAAATAAATTCAGGCGTGGACTCCCTCGATAGAAGGAAATTCGAGGGACCCGAAAAAATTCGAGAACCCCTAACATGATGAGAGAACCTTATTTTTGGGATAAGAAAAATCTACCTATACTGTATATTATTATAAATTATAATTTATTTGAATCTCCATATGATTGTGAAAATGGCTGAAATTCCCTCACCTCCATGATGATGAAAAGAGAACCGAAGAAGAGAAGCGTTGTCCATTCAACACGAGCCAGGACAGCTTCAACATCCAAGCCATCTGTGACGGCAAGAAGAGTGAGAGCCCCGAGGACGGCAACCCATCCCAGACTGATTTGCAGGCCTTCAACGGCTTGTGCGAAAAACCCGATCATCATCAACGTCAACACAATCAAGCTCTTGAACAACAAAACCCAGTCTCGAATTTTGTACTGAAAAAAATAAGTCGAATATTGTACACATCATACATATAAAACGTTTTCTCTCTTGCTTTATTAATGCTTGCCAAATACCTTCTCCTCGAGCTTACGCAGATTCATCTGGAACTTGGCATCAGCTGGTTCTTGAATTCTACTAGGAAAAAATTGGCAATGAATCAAAATTTGACGGAATATTTCGTAATAATGCAGTTTTTCGGGAATATATATACGAACTGCGATGAAGCTGGCCTCTTGCGTTTCGTCAGACGGCGCTTCAATCGGCGAACTTTCTTGTCTAGCATTTTCCGGACAAACAGTTCTTGTCTTGAATACGGAGAGAAACTCGATTCCGCTCGCTGCCACATCCATATTTCTCTCTCTAGGTCTAAAAAAAATTAGGACAAAATCAACATCAGCAAAAATATATTCGCACTTCACAAAGAAGAAATTAAAATTTTGTTTCTCTATTTACCGACTTCGGTTTCCTCCGATTCAGTTCTTTTCACCACATGCAGCTCTTTGAACAGGTAATACCTCACAAAGCAATGAACGCCAACCGTCACAAAGAGCACTCCAAACAACATATGGAGCGTGAAATTGCCAAAATGAATCCCCTGTAACGAATGAACAAAAAAAAACAATTCACCGGTCATTATTTACTTGCTGTGTATAGATTAATTTCGCGGTCATTCTTAATGAGAACTTACAATAGTTACAGATGAAACTGAAGTTTTCTAGTGCAGAAGCTTTGAAGAATCTAAATTTTAAAATATATACAGTCAAACCTCTTCAAGTAGAATTTCAAGGGAACAGCAAAAAAATTTAACTCATGGAGGTTGTGAATTGCACAGGTTTGAGCTATAATAGAAAGCCCTTTTGTTCTGGGAAACTTGAAAATATTGCCCAAAATTGTGAATGATATTCTTGGGCTTAAATGGCGTCTTAAATGAGTTGAAAGGATGCTGAACTTGAGGGCAGGGGTTTATTTGCCCAATTAAGTCTTTTCCTTCCTTCAAAACACACCAATTTCTGTTTTTATCGCTTTTTCTTTCTTGGGTGAAGAAAATAATATGAATAAAATAAAAATGTTATTCATAAATTCATAAAAACAGCAGAAAAATCATGATAAGAACAATTCATTGCATTGAACATCAACTGGTGATTATAACGGGATTTATCCAGCTACAGAGTTTTTGCCGGGACCAGCTAGCTTGAATCAACTGTTATATAAATAAAAAATTCAATTCAGCAGTATTCTTTGCAATGGAATTTTGACCTGATGTAAGGCAGCTTTTATATATACAGTACTCACGCCTTCTTGCATTTTCTTGTCCGATACAATAAGTACGTTCGGTGGATCCCCGATTGCAGTCGCAGTACCTCCGATGTTCGAGTACATGATCATGAGCAGCAGCACTGGGATTGGCTCCAGCTCCATGACTTCGCACAACCTGGAAATGAGTCAGACTATTTATATTGCAATCATGTACGAGTTTATTATTATTATTTTTTACTTTTCTCCGAAAAACATACCGGATAGTAATCGGCGTCATGAGTAAAATCGTCGTCACATTGTCGAGGAATGCGGAAGTGACGGCAACGGTGGCCAGCAAGATCGTCACCACGTTCCAAGCTGCTCCTTTGGCGAGCTTCAAATTTCAACAATTAAATAAACAGGAAAAAGGGGGACCCAGCGTCAATTGACATGATCCGCCCTGCATGTAGATAATACTGTACATAGCACACTGACGGATAAAAAGCTGTGATGTCAGCGTGTCAAGCTAAAAAAAATTCCATGCAGCAAAATTCAATCACAACGCAACGCACACTCATTAAAAAAAAACCGAGAACAGAGGATAACCACCATATAACAACCGACTGATCGTAGAAGTGTCAAACAATTTTGCCAGAACGGATCCGCAAGAAAATATGACTTACGGCTGAATTTTTTTTTTCCATTCTCATCCCACGAGGTATAGTGACGTGAACTGAAAATAAATTCGGACTTCAAAACTACTAAACAAATTTAAATGACAATGGAATATACGCGCCTGCCGCTTGGTTAGCTTTTCAGGCCAAAGCGACTCGTGCCTTTGTTGATGGTAGTATGGTTTGTCGTTTCTCTCCCAAAGATGTAGGTAGGTTCAACGGTTAACTGAGTACGATGGTCTCTATGAAAATCAGGCGATGACATGAATTACCTTATATCGCCAAAAAATATACAGCGTATAAAAATACCTCGTCAATATACGCCAACACACACACGCCAGTCGTGGCAACAATCATGGTAGCAAGCGTCCGATGAACAATCTGCAATTTGCATTTTCAGAAAAAAAACTGTACGCGTTACATTATCGTACAATGAAATTCCATCAGGGGTCATTTACAATATTACATTTTAATGGGGAAATTCGCAAAAATGAGATAAAAACAACTAATACACAGTATTGTACTTGCATTTTTGAAAATAAACGATTACATTTTTCAACAGTTTCTTCCAGCCATATCAAACAAAATCAAGCAAAATATTGAAGTTTCCCATGAAAATACTGTACACAAAAAAAATCCGACACAAAAAGAACCAGAAAAATTGACCTCATCTGCGATTAGCGGATAATAAGATTCTGAATAATATTTATCGGCCCTAAGCTGTGAGCATTGAGCATTGATTCCGAATGATTTCCTCATTACGAATCATGAAGAAAACAAATTAATTCGCAGTATTGAATCTTTATAACTAAATATATATACTGTCACAGGATTTGTCCAAAATTACGTTCGTAGTACAGTATTTTTCGAAATAAAATACAGCCTTTACTTTAGATTGGAACACATTCACATTTATGTGACGCAAAAAAATATGTGCCACACATTTTGCGTCAAACACAGGTATAAAACCTGCTAATTCACTTAATTTAAAATTTTGATGTACGCCAAAAGAGAAAAATCGGTTCAAGGTTTAAATATAACGAGGAACATTTGAAAGACCAACAAGAGAAGAAATCCTATCATTTGATTTTTCCGTCTAAATAATCCAAATTTAAGGTTTATTCGATTATAGAAAATAAGAGTGAAATACTGTACTCTTGACCTCGAGTAACAGATCTCACATATTGGACTATTGGAAAAGTACCTCGAATGAGATGAGCAAGTACAGGCCGGCCAAAATCAATCCCGCGAAGATCAGGTTTTCGTCTGCCGTAGTTCTATACGCCAGCAATGCGAGGCCGACGGGTAGTGGACCATTCAGATTTGAACTCAGCCGGATGAATCGTTCACACCTCATTTTCAAGCTAACAAAAATATTTTCTTGATGAAATTGATAATTAAAGAGACAAAAAAGCAGTTTTACCATGCAGGAAGTAGATGTCCCTGCTCGAAAGTATGCGTGACGACACTATTATCCGTTCCCACGAGGTATTTGTACGGAAGAAGACCAATTGAAATCTCCTCGGTTGTCTGTACGAGTAGAAAAAAAAAAGAAAGCCACATTTTTCGATTACTCACCAGAAATACAGCGTTAACAGCAAAAAAAAAAACCATAATAGGCTAGAACAGCTGATTTAAAAAAGCTTCCGTTTAAAACATTCCAGTTACAATAGGTCCAGCTGCTTCATAAGAGACCCTTACAAAAAAGCACAAAAACATTTTTTGGTGGAAGGAAGAAGTAGCTTGCATTATAAAATATTTTAGTTAAATTGACGAGTTTTTTTTAAGAATTGCATGAATTTTGGTATTTTTTAATTTTAAATAATTTTATTTTCACAACAGATCAAAATCAGATACAGTACATCAATGATTTTACTTTTCATTCATTGGATTTTCCCATTGGAAATTTTTATCAAAGTTTTTTTGAATGTCAGAACGTTGAGAGCTTGAAATAGTCCGCATAATTTCAATTTAATACAAAAAACTCAAGTTTTCAAGTGTATGGAACGAATTGAATATTTTGAATTGATGGAAATGATGTTTTACAATACAAAAATCATTCTAAAAATAAATCGGTTTCTTGCAGAGATCTACAAACCTGAAATTCTTCAAACGAAGATTAATGAATCATGACACTGCTGTATAACTTGTAATTAACGCACCAGACCGGACAGGTTTCAATCGTCAAGTTACATAGCCACGTTTAATAAAAATACAAGATAAATACTCACAGAAAAATGAGGTTCAACATTGCGTTTAAGGGGGTAATTTTAATTACGAATGGTCAGACAAAAAATGATTTCCCAAATTTAAAGCATCATGATTAAAATTTAAAGGGNGCTTCAAATTTCAACAATTAAATAAACAGGAAAAAGGGGGACCCAGCGTCAATTGACATGATCCGCCCTGCATGTAGATAATACTGTACATAGCACACTGACGGATAAAAAGCTGTGATGTCAGCGTGTCAAGCTAAAAAAAATTCCATGCAGCAAAATTCAATCACAACGCAACGCACACTCATTAAAAAAAAACCGAGAACAGAGGATAACCACCATATAACAACCGACTGATCGTAGAAGTGTCAAACAATTTTGCCAGAACGGATCCGCAAGAAAATATGACTTACGGCTGAATTTTTTTTTTCCATTCTCATCCCACGAGGTATAGTGACGTGAACTGAAAATAAATTCGGACTTCAAAACTACTAAACAAATTTAAATGACTTACCTTATATGCGCGGACGGCGAACCAATCGAAAAGTCCGGTTTCGCTGAGCACGGAAACAACTACCATCATACCAAACAGCAAAGAGAGGGTTTCTACATCCATCCAAGTTGCCAATTGACTCATAGATGGTCTCTATGAAAACCAGGCGATCAATGAAGACATGAATTACCTTATACAGCATAGCAAAAAAAAATATACAGCGTATATAAATACCTCGTCAATATACGCCAACACACACACGCCAGTCGTGGCAACAATCATGGTAGCAAGCGTCCGATGAACAATCTGCAATAGGCAGAACATTTTCATAAAAAAAAACTATGCACGTTATATTATCGTACAATGGAGTTCCAGCAGGGGTCATTAAAAATATTATATTTGCATGAAGAAATTCGTCAAAATGATATAACAAAAATTAATACACAGTACTTGAAAATATTTGCACATTTTTGAAAATAAACGATTAACTTTTACAACAGTTTCTTCCAGCCATATCAAACAATATCAAGCAAAATATTGAAGTTTCCCATGAAAATACTGTACAGTACAAAAAAAATGTTACATAAAAAGAACCAGAAAAATTGATCTTATCAGCGATTCGCGGATAAAACTCTGATTAATATTTATCAGCCTTCAGCTGTAAGTATTAAGCATTGATTCCGAATGATTTCCTCATTTCAAATCATGAAGAAAACTTGCATCAAAACAAATTAATTCGCAGTATTGAATCTTTGAAACTCAATATACTCCGACAGAATTTGTCCAACATTACATCCATAGTTTTCTTGTAAATAAAAATACAGCATTTACTTTAGATCGAACACATTCACATTTATGTGACGCAAAAAATATGTGCTACACATTTTGCGTCATACACAGGTATAAAACCTGCGAATTCACCTAATTCAAAATTTTGATGTACGCCAAAAGAGAAAAATCTGTTTAAATATAACGACGAGGGACATTTGAAAGACCAACAAGAGAAGAAATACTATTATTTGATTTTTCCTTGTAAATAATCCAAATTTAAGGCTTATTCGATTGTAGAAAGTGAGGAGTGGAATACTGTAAAAATAATCTCGAGTAACAGATCTCACATTTTGGACTATTGGAAATCTCAAATGAAAGTACCTCGAATGAGATGAGCAAGTACAGGCCGGCCAAAATCAATCCCGCGAAGATCAGGTTTTCGTCTGCCGTAGTTCTATACGCCAGCAATGCGAGGCCGACGGGTAGTGGACCATTCAAATTTGAACTCAGCCGGATGAACCGTTCACACCTCATTTTCAAGCTACAAAAAATATTTTCTCGATGATGAAATTGATAATCATCGGGACCACAAAAAAAAACTGTTTTACCATGCAGGAAGTAGATGTCCCTGCTCGAAAGTATGCGTGACGACACTATTATCCGTTCCCACGAGGTATTTGTACGGAAGAAGACCAATTGAAATCTCCTCGGTAGTCTGTACGAGTAAAAAAAAAAAAAGAAAGCCGCATTTTGCGATTACTCACCAGAAATACAGCGTTAACAGCAAAAAAAACCATAATAGGCTAGAACAGCTGATTTAAAAAAAACTTCCGTTTAAAACATTCCAGTTACAATAGGTCCAGCTGCTTCATAAGAGACCCCTACAAAAAAGCACAAAAACATATTTTGGTGGGAGGAAGAAGTAGCTTGCATTATAAATATTTTAGTTAAATTTACGAGTTTTTTTTTCAAGAATTGCATGAATTTTGGTATTTTTAATTTTAAATAATTTTATTTTCACATCAGATCGAAATCAGATACAGTACATCAATAATTTTACTTTTCATTCATTGACTTTTCCCATTTACCCGCAGTACTTTCATTCTAAGTAAAAAATTTCCCATAGGAAATTTTTATCAAATTTTCCTCCAAATTTTTTTGAATGTCAGAACGTTGAGAGCTTGAAATAGTCCGCATAATTTCAATTTAATGCCAAAAACTCAAGTTTTCAAGTGTATGGAACGAATTGAATCTTTTGAATTGATAGAAATGATGCTTTAGAATACAAAAATCATTCTAAAAATAAATCGGTTTCTTGCACAGAGATCTACAAACCTGAAATTCTTCAAACGAAGATTAATGAATCATGACACTGCTGTATACCTTGTAATTAACGCACCACTGGCCTGTCCAAAGTTAGCAGTTCAATGTATCGGTGCAAATTATTTTTATGTTCTATTTATGAGTGTCTTTTTACTCCAAGTTGTAACGCAAATTCCCCCATTAAAATTAATGCTTACCAGTCTGTTAAAATGATTTCCCAAATGTAAAGCATCATGATTAAAATTTAAAGGGCATATATGCGATGACTGCATAAATATGGCTTTTATATACTGTACTGTACTCACCAGATCTACAACATCGGCCATCGGATCGTCCCAAGGCATCATGCGGACAATCAGTGAGGAATTCAAAGTGTACCGCGAAAGGTTCCTGTACTGGTCCGGCAAAAACGGTCCAGAGAAGATGACTTTCAGGGTTTGAAAATTCACACTGGATTTACTTCCCAGCAACTCGAGTGGCACCTCTGCGACAAAAAGAAAAATATACCTTTGAGTACCAGCATGCAAAAAATATGTCTTCATTTATCTTTACGGGAAAATTCAAATACTGTACCAAATCCTGTGTTGTTTCCCTTTTTTTTAATATTGTCAGACCTCTAACAAGCCAGACTAGAGTGACTAGCTTTTTTGCCAAGAAAAAAAAACAAACGAAGTATTGTATACAGTAAAATCTTGTTACAACAAATACTGTCTAATATGCAGGTCTAATTTGAAGAAAATCTTCAATTCGGTCAATAATTTTCAAAATCTCATTATAAACAAATTATTTGTTACAAAAAACTTTTTCTGAAGTCCCCACAAGTTTGTTGTAACAAGATTTTACTGCATTACATAAAGATAAAATTGATATTCCGCGCCTCAAAATGCTGGATAAAAGAGCTCAAAGGTCGCTGAACTTGGACACACCGGTAAAATCGCACAATTAGTCACTCACCTTCTGACAGCATCAAACTAAATTTGTATTCGCCTTCTCTTTCGTGGGTACCCAGAATAATAGCCGAAAGGCCTCAAGAAATTGTATACACAGTATCTTACTACTGTACTTCTTCCAATTTTCTTGACACTCTCCAATGTAGTTTAATGTTATGACCTGTCTCTTTTTGCCGAACTACTACTTTTACTCTTGTGACGCTTGTGTTTTATGTAGCTTGACTATCGTTTAAATCCATTTAATTCTCTTTTTTCGGGTACACTTCGATACTGCCCCCCAACTTAACCGTACAGCGCACAGCCAGGCGCGGCGAATGCCCTTGGTATCCTCACCGCAAGTCTACATGCGTCATACAGGTGTCACTACCAGAAAACCTATAGATACTGTGAGAGGTTACATCAAATTACAATACTGGACAGAGAAAAACGGCTTGATGATGAAAATGAGAACACTGCGAACACAAAATACATCGAACTGATAGCAAATTTAGGTAAATTAAGAGAAAAAAGTAACATAACTACTACTTTGCACGTTAGGAGTTAGGCAAGATAATTCTGTACTATTATCTATCGAAACTTTTATTTTCAACAGTAAGAGATAAATTAAAGCAGGGGCCTAATTTTGATTTTAGGTTGACGTCTAAATAAATCCCTCCAACAAAGAGCCTTCAAAAAACACTTAAAAATCCAATTCCTGCAACTCGTATATGCAAAAACATGCCGTATATGCCGCTGAGCCTGCTTTGTACCAGGGGTTTTGGTAATTCTACACCACCTGTTCACTTATGCCAACCCTTCAAAGGCTGCAGCAATGACACCTAGTGGTTGGTCTTGCCATTATCGGATGCCCGCAGTAGGTCGAAGTTGGGGGGCAGTATCGAAGTCTCCCCGAAAAAAGTAACATAACTACTACTTTGCACGTTAGGAGTTAGGCAAGATAATTCTGTACTATTATCTATCGAAACTTTTATTTTCAACAGTAAGAGATAAATTAAAGCAGGGGCCTAATTTTGATTTTAGAAAAATACACACCCTGCTCAATTTCATTGGGCGGGACGGACGTCAGGTGCAACTGGTACTTCTTTTCAGCAATCATGCTCAACAGCACCTGAGGGAAAGGAGCCATGACAATTACATCATGCTGCAACGTAACGGGATAACATATCGCGAAGGAAACACTCACGACATCCATGCAGCAAATGGTCGCCATCACAGCAATTCGAATCCACGTCCTGACAAAGACTGCCCATTCTTTAAATCCCCAGGGTTCAAGACGCATTTCCGCGATTTCTGGATCCGACAGTCGCGGCTCATGATGATGCCGTCTCGATCGGACCGACTTTCTCGGTATGAAATGTTCCTCAAGCCACTCGTCATCGGCACTCGAATCCCGACTCGACAGCGACTCTTCTTCATCTTTACTTTCCGAAGTGCCCGCAGTCGTGGGAAACCTTCACCACCATCAGCAAAAAAGAAACCGTTACGTTTCTTCGTCACGAGATCAGATCTAAAGAAAATTCTGGTCATACTCACGTATAATAGTTGTTCAAGGGGACAAAACTATCTGATTTCACCAACGGCACTCTTTCACTGCCATGATCATTCCTCCACAGGGGCGGATCGCGGATATTCCGCACAGGAATGGATGAGAATTCGCCACTGATGTCGCTCAACACACGTGCTGCCATATGGGCGACAGCGTCGAAACCTAGACGTAAATAAGATTTGAAATCAAATTCAATCCAAAAACAGTCACTGAAAATCGATCCCATTATCTTATCTCTCAGGAAAATAATCTACACCTGCTACGATAAAGTCTAAACCACGAAAAAAAAAATCACCAAGGGGCATAGCAGGAAATCAAACGGCCAAAATGACCTTGCCACACGAAAGTTCGAGACATGTCTTGAACCCGCCCGGACATTGACTGGAACTGTGTATTGGCAACCCGGGGGATGGAAACGAAATGTACATCGTGACCTTGAAAATAAACCCCTCACCCTTCGTCTTCTTCCCAAGCGAGCATATGGTAGATCAATCTCGGTCGAGACTCTGGTTCGAACTCGTACCCCTATAGCCCCCTTTTACCCCCATCGTACTCCCTTTCTCGCATGAAGTCTGCAAGGATTGGGAAGGAGCCCCCGGCGCTTACGTTGGAATGATAAGAATTCAATACAGTATAATAAAGCCTTTCATCACGGACAAATTAGCTCGTATGCATATATAATTCCAGCACGGTTAGCATAAACCGATTACATATGCAGATATCATTGTATAATTTACATCACGAAGAAGCTGGGGGATATTTGCGCAAACAAGGAACGCATGTTTGAATCGCCATGCTTCAATATATTTAAAGCACTTCTCTGACAAATCCATCGCAAGCGCATATTTTCTCGCGAATGCCCAACCGTACAACCCGCATTACACGCGAGAGGTTCAAAAGGAAACGGCGTTTCATCGGTGATTCGACCCATTCTCAGTGCACATGCGCGAAAACACAAAGCGCTAATCCTCAACGCCAAATATTTCACCATCGACCCTGAAAAAGACTGCATGTTATCTATTAGCTGGAGTGGAAGATCCATCCACTTCCTTTGTCCATTTGGGAGGAAGGCGAAAAAGGATTACCAGAAAAAGTGTCCATCATGTGTCATTACATAACCTGCCTCGACAGTATGTACACCCCCACCAGCACACAGCACCCGCATCGGTCTCCATCGACCATTACAATTCAGAGCTGCGCCTGCGATAAGTTTCGGGTCAAATTTGTTTCTACTCGGACTGTATTTAATACAGCATATCAGTCCCGGACACAATTGTCCGCTGACCATCCCACAACAAAATACAAAAAGTTTGCGCAGAAGGATAACCCAGCCCCAACAAATCGAGAAGATTGTTTTGCCACTCGAAAATTGGCTCGAGGACTTTGCAGCCATCGCATAATTGCTCCGATGATAAGATCATATTTTGTTTCTCTTTAGGGACACAGCAGTCAATAGCCCTCGATTCGGAAGAAATAGTATGGTGGATATCCGCGCAAAATGCCATCGGTTAGACGTTGGAGAATTCCGGGTATAGAGACCGATGAGTCAAAAGCCACCTAGCTATCCCTCGTCCTCGCCTCCCGGGAGCGGTGTAGACGGCACAGCATACTCCCTCAAATAACGGCAAAGTATGCTCTAGGAGGAGTATACCTTGCGGTAATTCTTGAAGCGGCGTTTATTTTGGCGGAAAGATGTTTGATTCCATGGAAATCTATATTTTCACAGGAGGCCTTGTACAGAACATGATGGCAAAATATGTGCCAAGTTTATTATGAGGAGTTAAAGCATGGTCAAATAATCTTCCTGTCATATTTTCTAGTCCCATTAATTATAGAATGAACCACTGCAGTAAAGCCTCTGCAGAACTTCCCTCCTGGGTCAGGGGGAGTATGATAGGCCTGGGGAGTATGCCATGCTTCCTACACCCGCGATCAGCAGCTGAGCGAAAAGAGCAGAATGCCGAAGTCTGGGACGAAAGCAAACAGGCAAATGACACGTTCCCGAGAGCAAAAATCCAAGGTCGATCAGGACATATGTACGCCACGCCCTCAAAAAACTGAAACTCAGCCCAAACGCAAGCAAAACTGACCTCATGATTCCGCGTTCAGTTTCTGATGATGTGGTGATATTCAGGAAGTTATTTTCATAGCATCTCTGAGGCTAGACTAACGGACGGAGCCCGCTTCGTTGGAAAAAAGGTGGGAACAATCCTTCACACCACGGATCACGTTTCCTATCATCACTTCTCACTCCGGAACGGCAGGCGACGGGAAAATAACAGTATCCATCATATACAGGAAATGCATCAGGGCGAGATATACAATACAAAAGGATCGATATAAGATTCCCTCGAGCTTAGACTACTAGGCACTATACGTCCGTATCTTTCGGTGATATACTCAGGCATTTCTCACTGCCTTATTTGTCCACTCATTCACCCCAAAAGGGAATTCAATCTAAATCCTGCTGCTGATCCTGCATGGGGCGAACGTTCTCCTTTTTTGCAAGGGACGTCTAGCTCTATTTACGCGAAAATCTCTGCATGCAGCTATGTCTGCATACGTCTTCGATGGGTCATCTTTTGAACGAAAGGCTGTCACGTACGTAACGATAGAACGCGTTGAAAAACGTTTGTAGTACAGCTCACAGGCACATTGTTGGTCAATTTCAAAGAATTTTTAGGAAAAATTTTCATTTTCCCCTTTCCACCTAACATCAAAATCTATCGTAAAGTTTGGCAGAGCGTTATGTTGAACGCATTTTATTGATATAGGGTATTAATCATATTCGACACCGAAATTTGGCTCGATAACATCAATGCACAATTCTCAGCAGTCGGAGTCACATACGACGAGGATTCACCAGCAAACACCAAGCAATCTCACTGTATTACGTTATTTGACATTAATTCATCAAGATCCAAAAACGGGGCCTACGTCATCCTTAGATCCAGTGAATTCCTTGTCCGGTTCCAGCTTCCAGCACTGCTTTCCATCTGGAAACGCTGCTGATAGTCGATCTTCAATTTGTTAGTCAGATGTCGTCAAAGACGAGAGTACTTGTGAGTTTAAAACTAGTGACATCTAGGATAGTCTAAAGCGTTCAAAGCACGTTATCTATTGGTCGTTCGGGAAATTGTGGGGTAGCAAGCGCGGGTACCGCCATTTCGGTTGCCATTGTGCTGCGGTATTTGGCGGGTTATCGAACGAATTCGCATTACCATGATCAGTGGATTGATTGGGATTTCTTGTCACGCGTAGCTTAATGACGCACCTAAGCCGCCGTTCAGGTGTCCGGAAACAGTGGCTTGAGCAAGACACGATTGTGCCTTGATTAAGATGACGGGCTTTCAAAGCGTTCCGATGGAAGCTTCTCATCTTACGTTGTAGTCTTACGGACCACCTTCAATTCAAGCGGTTGAGCCGCCGTGCCCGGAGCCTAACGGCGTAGAAGTGATATTGCGTCAGTCATCTACAGTATTGCGTTCCTGAATAACTTTCTGTCGACATTACTTGTACAGTTCATTGAAGCGTCGTTCGTGTGTTGATAATGAGAAGGAGGAATTCATCGTCGCGGGATTGCCGGAGATTGAGTTCGTAATTGTTTGGTTTCAGATTTTGGTTCATTGTCTTGCAGGATTTGTTTATCAGAAGTGCTTTTTGCGTTGTCCAGCGAAAGAATATGTCTGATAACGAAGACGTGAATCCAAGCCCTGAGGCCGAAGAAGAATTCGAAGTTGAGAAGATCATTAAAAAGCGCATGAAGAATGGGAAACCTGAATATTTGATCAAGTGGAAGAATTACGACGACGCCGATAATACATGGGAGCCCGAAGATAACCTTGATTGCGAAGTAAGTTCACACTCGGAAGATTTAAATCGACTACATTTCCTCGAACGAGAGCACCCCGTGCGAAACGAGTTCTTCCCTGGTTTGACAAATCTTTCGGGTTTTCTTGCATAGCTTTAGTAGAGAAGTGGATTGAAACACATCTCTCTCGCGTGAAGATCACATGTCCATCTTCCCTAAGGAACGATGTACGAAATTTACGAATTTTGTACAGTACAAGTCGCGGTACTGGAAGTAGTTCATATGGCAGCCTGCAGGAATCATTATTCCTGTATTAATTGTATGCAGAGCATTCTGGATGCTTATTACGTTTGTCTAAAACTATAATGCTATGCTCATCACCATTAAGGAAATTTTGGATTAGAAAATCACTTTCTCTCTTCCAAATACCGGTCATTTGAGTATTTCCGCTGGGTCCTTTATCAAATGGTCGACCTAATTTTCCAGGACCTGATGAAAGCCTTCAATGCGAACGAAAAAAGCTCTAAGAAGAAAGAAGATGAACCAAAGAAGCCTGCTCCAAAAAAGTCCGAGGAACCGAAACCAGCAAAGCAGAGCTCTGCTCGCAAAGAAAGCAAGGCTAGTAGCGACGACGTGAAAGATACCCCGACAACGGGCCAAAAGCGTAAAGCCTCATCCTCGAGTAACAGTAACGACGGGCCTGCTGCAAAACGCGGATTCGACCGTGGCTTGGATGCTGAAAAGATTATAGGAGCCACGGATTCGGCCGGTCAGCTGATGTTCCTTATGAAATGGAAGGGATGTGAGGACGCTGATCTGGTGCCAGCGAAGGAAGCCAATCTCAAATGTCCGCAGGTGGTTATCCAGTTCTACGAAGACCGTTTGACATGGCATTCATCCGACGAATGAAAGCTCCGTACGAAATGACTTTTTTTTAATGCCGTTCGTGTCCGCATAGAATTCCGATGTTCTTTTTTTTACCGTCTATTGTGTCTTTGTTTCTTGATGCGGGACAGAAAGGTTTCAATTCTGATTTGAAAATGCTGTGACCCACTTCATTTATCGTGAGGAATGTTTTCGTTGTTCTAAGGTGAATAATGTCTGTTACGTGAGGAACGGGTGGACAACGTCAGGTTTCTCTGTATTACATGCATGAAATAACTGGTCATTCTGCAGTAGGGATGATTTCCACTGTGGGTGACCCTCACAAGGCATTTTTTCGTCAATTATGACCCTTTCGGATAACGTCTGTGAATCGGTTCCAGAACACTATTAGTTGTTATACAAACGTCCAGGAATGGGCCAAGGGGGGTGTCTCATTTCCGTTAGGACTTCAATATTGAGATCTCCAAGACCGTTTGAATGTTCATTCTTATTTAGGGAATCTCATTTTTAAGTGAAATGTAAGTGCGTAGTTAAAGCTATGCATTTTTGCTATTCCGTCTGTATTGATATGAAATGAACGCGAGAAAGTTTGTTAAACAAACTTCTCATGTTGGTGAAAATTATTGTAGCACATAAATAAAAATCCGAATGAAGTGTGGTCACTGGACGGTGTGAAATTATTTCAAACTCAACTATGCAAATTTAAAAATTTTGGAACTTGACTCGAACATTACTGACTTTCTCTTCTGTAGGAAAACGAATCGGGAGCCCGATTCGCTGAACAAATTTTGAGAGAACTCTTGTACAGTACTTCTATGTAATCTTAATGATTTTAAGCTATTATAACTAGGGGATATTTCTGAACGGACACAGTTGAATTCATGAGGTGCACGCATTTGTTTAATTTTCCTCCGTTGAAATTGGAATGTCCGCATGTTCAAGGAGAGCAAGGATATATATAAACACAGGTATAGTATATAGTTGCAACATTTTGTGCATATTCTGTACTGTACATATCTGGCTTGTATTGGTAATGTCTCTACAGACGAGAGCGCACATACATAACCCGCAGCAATCAAGAGACAGGGATATGTTCAGATTATTATTAATCGCTTAAATGAGTTTGAAAGTCTTCTTAGTCAGAGATAATATTTCCTACAATTCGTAGAAAAAATCTCGGGGCATTTTAATTTTGCGATGGAATTAACCGTGTACTGTTCCCCTGACTGATAAATGATTTTCTCATTTTTACCATTTGGGTGCAGCTTGTTAGAAAGATTTTGATGAGCAAAAAAAGGTACAATACTGTACATAAACTACTGATGATCTGTACACAGTAACATAGGAAGGGGAAGGAGTCAGCAATACTCCCACCCCTGAAATATTTTTTTTCGTAGTTGACTGGCTGTTGAATTTCTGAGTCATGGCTTTGCGGGAAAGTGAATTCCTCAAAAACCCTTTTTTTGCTCAAAATAGAGAACTACTGTACAGTACAGGTATAAGGCGAGAAAGGGGTCCACCGGATATTCTACTGCCTGAATAAATAGGTGGTGTAATAGCGCAACTTGCCACAGAGCATTCCGAAGATCTCAAGTTATGAACATAAAAAAAAATCCCGCTCCTCTATTGGGTTCATAATATTGCCAGGAATTCTGACAAGATTTTTCGTAACTGCGACATCAATGAAGAATTATTATTTGCAGAATCTTTGATCAAACGAACCGCATGGACTGAAATTTCTCCCAGGTATGGATGACCATCAGATGATAGAATTCTATCATGGATGCCCGCATTCCCTCAATCTGAATAGATTGCACATCGCTAGTCTTCAGTTCCGCGGAGACGTCGAAGTGCTAGAGGTGCTATCTCCTTGCAGTGAGTTTGCAGGACACTTATTGTGATCAGTCATTTTTCTCGTTCGCATTGATCGAATGTGCATCGTTGTAGAACTTTCACGTGCGACAAGCATTCAATTCAAAGTTTTTCTTAAATTCGTTATGCGTCGTCAGCAGATGAATGCATGAGTATCTCAATTATATCTATAATTAATTTTAATCTCTAGTAATTTATGGGGGCTGTGAACATATATTTTATTCTTCTTTACGAGATATATCTTTCAAGCAGAGATGCTTGAGCAGGTTTGTAAGCTGTCGATCGATCAACCAGCGAAACATTGCTCGTCTATGGAATGTCAGAAGTTTCTCGAGCAAGTGTTATGAGTACGTTCTAGAACGTAGATTTTCCTGGAAGAGAGACGCTTCGAGACATGGCTGTAGACGTTTTGGGACTCGAGAGAAGAAGTTAGGTGAACGGGGGAAAAATCCGGATGCGCCTTATTTTGTGCATTTTGAATAGCCAACTTCATGACCGGGAAAACATTTAAATTAAGACATTGTTTGCTGCTCGTGGCTGATGTGTATTGAAAAATCAAGCGTTACACAGAGTAGGTTATGTTCACACATATTAATGGAGGTTGAAAGATTCTATGATTTCTGTCGCGAAATTTGCTCTTCATTATGATCGTTGTCTTTCCAACGATTCCATTGCGATGGCATACTCGTATACAGTATTTCAATCGTCAAATATTGAATAACGATTTCATTTTTTAGATGAGCGTGCGGTCGTGTTCCGTTTGTCATGCTGACTCGTCTGCCGTCAATTTTGACCTGAACGAGTCGTTGCAAGCGTGTGGAAAAAGTGCATTAGACTTCTTAATCGATAACGGTATTATAGATTGGAATACCTTGATGACAGAAGCGTCGCTTTGTGAATTGTGTTTGAGTTTTGTTCTTTCTACGGATGATATGCTCAATGCCGCAGTAATGCGTCTGTCCGAATTGTACGAACAGCGCATCGCTTCTCCTTCGCCATCGGATGAATGTACCTACGATGTGAGTTGTTCATGAACAGGACACTACGTTAAATTGACGGCTGTTAAAAAAGAAGAGAAATGTTCCTTTTCCGTTGGATAAACATTTTCTTCTTGTGATTTTTGCCAACGTTTTCTATGCCGAGTAATTTTCGAAGTAGATTAAAACGAGTCGTTTCCACAGGAACGCTCGTAAGCGTAGTTCATAATCATTCAGCAACCAATGACAGTTACGAAAACCAGCAAATCCTTATGAAATATTTCTAAGCAAAAATTCTCATTACCAAAGCAAGTACTGTTAGCGTGAAGTGCTTTACTTTCTCAGCGAGAATCCTTAAATGTGAAGTAAAGCTTTTTGTACGGTAATGCCTGCAGTAGATTCGTGCAGTACATGATGATTTTTTCTGTGCTTATTCACCATGAAGAATCATACTTCGTTTTTGCTTGTTTGTGATGTTGATCCCTATTTTTCGATGAACCCCCATCCACAGGAACTTTCTGTTGATGTTTGTGAAGAGCAGGCGTCTTGCGATGATACCGATCGTGTTCAACAATGATGATCATTGTTGAGATTTATTATTTATCTGCATAATACATTAGTTTCTTATTCCATTGTGCAACGGACTCCTGGTCAATGAAATTTATGTGATTTGTGCGAAACATTTCGTTCGGAGCACTCAATTCTCAATATAAGTGACTTTCGTCGTAACATCTTTGATTTCTGCTAGTTCTACATCCTCCCCGCGTTATTTGGACCTCTTTTTCCAGAAATGACTGTGGTACAGTATTAGATCAATACCCTTTTCAGTGAGATGTGCTCAAGTTCATCCAGGGAAGGGATTAATCGCCTGATGCATTTTCTAGCATGTGGGATTATAAGTGAGGGGCATTTTATCCGCAGTACAGTACTGTATTAGCATTCTCGTTCCGCGCGACGAGAGATTCCCCGCATCGCAATTCATGTAAATAAATGATCATGGAATTTTTGGTTTCAGGCTATTTTTAGCGATATCTTGAAATCGTTTATGGGTATTTTCGAAGGCTTCCAGAGGAATACAGTTTGATTACAATTTGTCGATATCAAAGGGTAACCTATACAGTACTGTACTGCTGAAGGGATGAATTGAATACTGCACATAAACTGAAAAGAATACAATATTAGTGGCACAGGTGCGACTGAACAGATAGAGTAGGATACAGAAAATTCAGTACATTTTGACATATTTTTGCGTGGTTTCTGCGTTATTCTCTATTTCTTTTCGTATGCGTTGCTCATCGAAAAATGTTCTTCTCAAATGTATTATTTTAAACTTTCAGTCCTGTAAATACACCCCTACGGAGCATATTTTTTCAATACAGTTATTACAGGTCTGAAAATGTTGTTTCTCAATTGATTTTTTACAAATCAAGTTGGAAATTGGGTTAGAAATCTTAGGATAAATGGAAATCAGGAAATCATCTGTAGATTCTTTAATGTCGTGGCAGCTAACCGGCCAGTTTTAAAATACCGTCAACAAAATGGAATGACAATTTACCATTTAAATCTTTTTTTTCATTGTTAATTTTGGCTATCTCTTTTTTATATTCGTACAAAAGTTTGAGTGTATTTTCTTCGTGGGCCTCTGTTTTTTTTCCTCAAGTTTCTAATCGCAACTTTTAATGAGCTGGATCAATCGCCGTTTCCCAGAAGTTGAAACTGAAGATACAGTATCTGATCCTGCACTCCGGCTATTCGTTTTATGATTGTTTACGCCGAATCTGCCGATGCTAGACATGAAATCGTTTTATGGTTGAACTTTTCATTGATAAAACACGGTACTGCTGTAGTATACTACAGTATAAAGGTTCATTGCCCTAGAAAATACTCTATCAGGTATCAGCGTAGTTTGGGGCTCAATTTCGTTGGGTGTCAGTTGTTGAACAATCCGAAAATATGTAGGAGGATATGGATTATCTTGAATTTCTATTTCTGTGCCATGTTCCCGGGAATTCTTGTTTGATCACCAACACCAGAGAGGTTTTGGAAAGGCAATTTTTTGAAGGTCTTCTGCAGTATTGTATAGTTCTGGAAGTGATGTCTGAGAACAGTGAGGATTCCAGTTTGTGTGAAACGTTTTGAATTTCCGGATTGTGTGTGCAATTAGTTAAAACACATTATCGCGCGTAAAACCATGTTTATTGTATTATATGTCCTCGTATGCCTTTTCAAGTTGACAGGAACGTTTTGGACATCGTACAGGCGAAGGGTGATGGGGTTCCGAGTGAAATTTTTGTAGAAAAATTAGGACAGATGCATTATTTGTTTACATTACAGTATATGGAATATTTTCCGAATATCCACCAATCTCTGGTCAAATGATTCTTAAATGGGCCTCTAATTAAAAAGTCTCTAGGGTAATGCATGAATATCCGGACCCTTCGACGCGTCAAGAGCAAAAAAGTTCATTCGAAGCCTGAACAAATCTCGTATTTTGGAAGGACCTAATTTCCACCAACTTTTTTCACAAAAACGGTGCCTTTTCCAGTCTCAAGATAGGATATTACAGTACTTCCGCGGGGTGTATATATAATTGTATTGTATTATTCATTGTTATTCTGTCTTCAATCAATTTTTGTGTGTGTGTTTATTTCCCCGTGCAGAAACGAAAAGATATTTTTCTCATGGATTGGTGTAAATCATCGATAAGATTAATGTGTTAGCATCATGGAAAGCGGAGATCATGTTCTAACGACTTTGAAAATCCTCATCATTGGCGAAAGTAGTGTCGGGAAATCAAGGTGAGGATCTTTTTTCAATAAATTATTTTTATTCAATTTCGTTTTTTGCCTCTGACAAGTTTATTTTGTTACATTTTCTCCCCCCAGTTTGCTGTTGAGATTCACGGATGACAAGTTTGATCCCGAACAACCGCTTACCATCGGAGTGGATTTCAAAGTGAAAACAGTTAGCATTTCAAGCAACTGCGTGAAGCTTGCGATATGGGTGAGTTGAATCGGGAATTTGCATTCGAAATACTGTACATACTCGGAAGAGTTGAAGGTGAATCCTAATTTGAAGGACGAATGCCGTTCCGATTTTTTTTCTGGTTTGGAATACGGAATACGCGGAAATTCCCGCGTTGACGCGTCGTATCGATTTGCGTTCTCTGTCTATCTTGACGTACTTCACTGGTGAAAAGTTGATACCGTAATCTCAGGCTAGTTTTACGATCAAATAATAGAATACCCGGTTTCATTCGGGCTGTTCGATAAGTTTCGAACTACTTCAGAAGATAACTTTCCCCGTCTATAATCGCGGCGATACGAGGTCTTGGAAACACTTTTCAACTGATTTTCAAAGCCATTTTCAGTGTCGTCAGATTCTGGGTTAATGTTTTTTTTTTATCACGGAAATGCTTTCAGTAACATTTGGATGTCGTTTAAAAATAGAACTTGACTTGAAGTAAGCGAACCAAAGATGATTTTTTTCTTGAACTCAGCTGAACGCAACCTTATTTACCATAATTGAACACATTTTCCCCTGATCATAGCAATACTATAATTAGTGACATCTATGGGGAGTATAAGCAAGTACCTTTTTGTCATCTTTTGTTTCTTGATTGTTAAGTTAGGTTAGGATTAGAGTTTTCTTGATGTCGCTAGAAGGACGCACGCAGAAGAGAGGAATAAATTTGTTTTTCTGTTGTTGATTTCGCCGGAAAACGGGCCCATAATTTTGTTTCGCCGAACTAATTTTCACCTAACAAAACTTGGGAAAATTAAGATTGACAAGTGAAGCATTAAATTAAATAATGGACTCAAAAGTTATTGGGGTTCACAGTGCAGAAACTGTGAACATCTGAACATAGGTAGACATTCTCTACAACGATTTTCTGTGTATAACGAATTTTTTGTTGGTCCCATGGGGTTCCTTAAATATATTATAGAGGTCCTCAACGAATTGTTTTGGTCGCCTGAATTTCGTTGTAGAGAGAGTCAACCTGTTTGTGGGAAATTATACGACCGGCCGATCATTTCTCGAGTGTATGACTGGAAAGATTTTGATGATTATCCCGTGTTCTCCGTCTGTGAGATGGAAGCTGGATGAGGAATGGGATCAAATGGATCTTGAGAGATCGGGCTTTCGATAACGGTCTTAACGAATAAAACGCCGAGATTTGTTTCTTTTTTTTTCGGGTGTAATTATGTGTTCTTGCCCAAGGCTGATGAATTTGTTATTCCAACAGGATACCGCAGGTCAAGAACGTTTCCGAACGCTGACCCCGAGCTACTACAGGGGCGCGCAGGGAGTGATTCTCGTGTACGACGTGACGAACAGGAACTCCTTTAGCAAGTTGGACATGTGGCTCTCCGAGTTGGAGACGTACGCCACTAAGCCCGACATTGTCAAGATGCTGGTGGGAAACAAGATTGACCAGCCAGGGAGGGTGGTGGATCGAGACGAGGGCCTGCGGTTCGCCAGGAAACATGCCATGTTATTCATTGAGGCCAGCGCGAAGACGAAGGACGGTGTCCAGTGTGCGTTCGAGGAACTAGTGGAGAAAGTGAGTGTGAGAATGAACCTCTGGTGAAACCGCGTTTGTGATTATAATTCGACGAAAGTTTCTGTCGAGTTACTGGACCTTCACCCTGGCAGTCTTGAAGTATCACGAACTTTTTTTCGTACATTTTTTTCAGTCTTGTGCTTCCCTACCTGAGGTCCGGTTATATGAATGGAGATGAGTTTAATTTTCACAAAGTAATACAGGAGGACTCTCGCAACAACAAAATTCAAGGCAGCAGAAAAAAGTAATTGTCGAGAACCTCGATAACAAGGGGAGAGAAATCTTTAGGACCGAAAAAATTCGTTATGATGTTCTGGGAAACTTGTTTTAGACAAGATCGTAGTTGAGAGAATCCCCTTGCATTGATTTACTGTGGACCTTCAGGCGAATCGATGGTTGATCCATCAGTCCAGAGTTATCAGATAAAATTATATGCTTGGCTCGTAAGTTTCTGTCAGTCTTGTGCTTCCCTGTCAGGGGTGTAAGTTTCTGTCAGTCTTGTGCTTCCCTGTCAGGGGTATGGTTATACAGTATAAATTCAGGTGAGTGAAAATTCTTCAATTTTTTGAACACCGTTCCAAATTTTGCTCGCTCAAGTTGCTATCTCGAAAAAACTGAAAATTGAAAAAGCACCCAAACCCGACGAGGAAGTAGAATTTACATGCCTTTTTGTGCATGCTTTGATAATCCGCCAACAGTCTGTGTACTACCAAATACTGTATTTCATACAACGGGAAAGGTGTGTTATAATAAGAAAAAATATAATCCTGGCAATTTTGGGGTGAAAAAGCTGGTTGGGATTGTTGCACCCGAAGGTCAATTGGTAAGGAAAAAGTTTTCCCAGGTAGGGTTAAAATTAGAGAAAATCTTCAGCTATTTTAAGAGAAAAGGCTTGATTCAAGTCCGATTATTGATTGGACAGTGGTCTGGATTATTTTGACTCAAGTGTTGTTTCTCCTGGAACTCAGATTGATGGAACTGGCTAAAGTTCTGAACCCTCCAAAAAGTTCGTGTTGTGGTGCGTCATTCGGTAATACGAATGACTTTTTTGTTACTTCGTCTGTCACAAAGCCGAATTCACGTAGTATACGGATAAATGTCACGAGTATCGCGATTGCCTTGAAATTGTAAACTTGAGTCGTGTCAAGTTGCACATGGTTCCAAATTCCACCCGCACTAGTGAGCATGAGCTTGAGAATTTGCATCGCCGTATAACATGACGATTCACGATGTCGTGATATTCTTCTAATTTCCTTGTCGCATATAATGGAAAATATTCGTTCTTTATGCAAATGGTTTACACTTAAAAGTGACATCCGATTATTTTTCTTGCAGATTATTCAAACGCCAGGGCTTTGGGAAATGGATGGAAGCACCGGATTCTCCCTCGGTGCCGGAGCCGACGCTGGTTCTGGCTGGTGTGCCTACTGCTAATCCTCTTCTGCTTCATTGCCACTAGAAATGACGTGTCCTGAACCACAATCTTTCTACTAATATTTTTCGTGGAATGCTTTTTGACTTTGAGCTGTCCCTCCCAGATGGGCATGCATCCATTATTAAATCTGAGGAACCATTTTTGGAGGCATAATGATTTCGTGGTTTTTTTTTTTTTTTTTACCTGTGTTTATCCCATTTTTCCTCTCTTTTTTTATTTTGCCAAACAGTCTCAAATGTTGTAAACAAGCATCCGTCTCCATTAAAAGCCAGGAGAAAAGTTTAATAGATGAGGAACCATTTTTGGAGGCATAATGATTTCGTGGTTTTTTTTTTTTTTTTTTGCCCGTGAGATATCTAGGGCGGTGAGCTGTGGTCTTGATTTTTTTTGCGTAGTTAGAAAGGGTTTTAGCCAAAGTCACGATTAATTGAGATTTTTCATGAATTACGATTTGTATGGTGGTGAAACGAGCTGTGAATGTGAACACACTATGGTCTCCGAATGCGTTTTCATCCTGAGTGGTGTATTCACGCGAATACAAGACGCTTTTCACCTTCCGAAAATCACGGGGTTCATCGTACATGTAATGAGATTCACGTGTGAAATTCGAATCCACGATTTGATTCAAAATGAACATCCATTCAAATGAGGTGATGTCTTATCACCTTTTTTTTTTAATATTCAAGGACGGTTTCAAGGCATGTCTCAGTTTTGTGCAGAAAACTGATGATTGAAAAGTTGAATTTGAGAAAGTATCTAGCATTTTTTCTTCCCTGAATATCTTTCTCAACAAATAATATTCATAATTTTGTTCAAAAAAATTGGAAGACTTTTTTCGGCGTTCGTAATTGAACTTGGTATTTGCATTTTGTTCGAGGAAATGTTTTCATTTATAAATTTTTAAATTGAACTCTTGGGTCCATCCTGCAAAAAAATGTTTCTGGCATTAAGTGAAGTAAGTGATACAAAGTTTTTACTTTTACTGTATTCCCCTTTTTTTCCTCTCCGTCCAAGAAGCTAAAATATTATTAAACTGTGCCTCAGAATCGATGGCGTCTTATATTCGCGTAAATTCGGGGTTACTCGGGACGTGATTCAAAAACCTCATTGTCTGTTTCATTTTCAGGAGCAGTACCCAGGTTAGGAATACAATCGAAAGGCGACAGGGAGTCGGAAATCGGCTCTGCGCCGTTTAGTTATCGCGTCAGGGCGGGAACGTTATTAGGAACTCGGCGTTTCTTTTGTTTTGCGTTTCTTTGTTTTTGTTTAGTTCGGTTTTTTCTTTGAGGCCGAAGCATTTTTGCGATGGCTCAAGTGCTTTTGATTGGTGGCGGCGGGCGGGAGCACGCCCTCGCTTGGAAATTGGCCCAGTCCGAAGCGATTTCTCAAATTTTCGTGGCGCCCGGAAATCCTGGCATTGCTGGAGAGCCGAAATGCGTGTGCGTCAGTGATCTGATACCGTCTGATCACGAGGTACGTCTTAAATTAATTTTTTTTTCAGCCAATCGAAATTTAATGTCATTAGATTGGGCTGAAAAAAGCCCTTTTTCGTAATTTTTTCCGAATTTTCTCTTGTCCCGTGTGTATCCAAAATTAGCCCTTTCACCAACTTCAATTTAAATTTTTTCCCTACGATCTTGAATAAACCGCGAACGAACGGAAAATTACGGTAAATCATGAGTGACAATAGTTATTTATGGGTATTTCGATTTTCCAAGAGACATTTTTTCAAAAAAACTGAAAAGATTCTTTCCCTGCGACTCAACGCTCATGTAGAAAAGATGCCCTCATGAAAATTTACGGAACCCTGGAATATACACAATTTTCTTCATTCGTTGTTAAAAAAGTTCTGGCCTGGCTTTTTGTGGATATTTTTTTTTTCAACTGTACGTATGTTTTGCATGCATCATGAAATTTTGCCACGAGAATTTCCTACGAAATGTTGATTTTATTCAGGGGGTCGTGAGTTTCTGCAAGGACAGAAACGTATCACTGGTGATCGTGGGACCCGAAGCTCCGTTGGCCGGTGGTCTGGCGGATGCTCTGATAGCGGCTGAAATCCAGTGCTTCGGACCACGAGCTGCTGCTGCAAAAATCGAATCGGATAAAGAGTTTGCCAAAAGTTTCATGAACACGAACGGAATCCCGACGCCTAATTGGCAGGCGTTTTCGGACGGTGCCACTGCGAAAGAATTCATCGCCTTGTGAGCTCTCTTTTCTTTTGTTTTTTTGTTTCGTCTTGAAAAGATGCATGTAGAGGAATGAAAACTTTGAAGCATCCGCAAACGTCGGAAATTCGTTTGATTGTTTTCTGTGAACTGGAACGTTTCCAAGCACAGTAAGCCGGGTTTCTATGCTTTGATTTTATACCAGGCTTTTCTCCTGACATCTTTGCGACTCCTCAAATTTTGCAGAAAACGTCGCTTGATTAATGACCTTCGATGTACGAAGGTAATTTCGAAATGTCACATTTTAAAAATACAGTATGTGTCTAATCGTAAAATAAGTCTTTCTTTTACTTCTTCGAAGTTTTTATGCATCGAAAGGATTTTAAATTCGTTATGCAATTATAAGCAGGAATGCACATAATGAAAAACAAAACCAATACTGTACTGTGAATTCATGCATATGCATGGAGCAGGAAAATGTATGAATTCAAGGATGATTGATGCACTTTTTTTAGATGTGCGCCAAATCGGGTTGAAGAATTTTTTGAATACGAATGATCCAGCATATGGTTATTCTTCATTTCATCATCTGAATCCTAACGTTTCTGAAATACGAGGGATGACCCAAAATTTGTGTCAGTAAGGAATTGCTTTGGTAACTCAAGTTTCTGATTCATGATATCAGACTTGAAGCGAACCTTTCTTAATCTGCTTAGGATTTGTTCGATGAGAGCCCTGATTTGGGTAACTTCCTGCTCAACAATTTGAAATTTTAGAGCAACCATCTCATCAAGCATTACTGGGACAAATTCCAGATATTTGTGCAGTATTATCATCTTTTATTGGAATTTTATGCACAAATATGGAACATGGATAACTGGTGTATTTTTAATTAATTTTACATTTTTGTCGAATTTTGAATGTCAGCCAATTTGTAGCATGTAAAAGTAGGTAGTAGTACGTAAAATTTATTACCCCCGCAGTGAAGTGCACATCCGATTTTATCAAGGACAATGAGAAAAAAGTGTAATCATGATCCGGAAATGATCGCATAATCCTCCGTGAAAATGTCATCGATAATTCATACTCCGCAAGACAGAAAAAATTACTTTTGAAAAAATTACCTGATTGATAATTCACTTCGTGTGGAAACCAGAGAATATTGGTACTCTTGGTTTGAAAGTTTGGTTTTTAAGATGTCTCATATTCATGTGCTTACTTTTCGTTGTGGCGGAAAACATAAATTTTTAGGGCCCCATACGATGCTTTGGTTGTGAAAGCCGTGGGTCTCGCTGCTGGCAAAGGAGTCATCGTGGCATCCACCAAAGAAGGCGCGTACGAGGCCGTTGACGAGCTTATGGCAAACTTCGGTTCAGCTTCCGATCGAATAATTGTGGAGGAGAAAATGTCCGGCGAGGAAGTGTCGGTAAGTGCTCGAGGGGTTCGAATGCTTAGAAATTTTAACGTTTACTCAAACTTCATTTTACGATCTTACCGGGGCAAGCGCTTAAAAACTGCTGATCAATTTTGTCAATACAGTTACTGTAGTTTCTACAAGGATTTTTTCGGCATAAAGAATTACGGTATGTTCGGTCCGATGAAGTTATTTCCCCATGTTTTAGAGTTTCTCTACAAGGATTTTTCTCAGGTCCATAGAATTTCGTTGTGGAGAGAATAAAATTATGTACATCTGTTTAGAATGACGCAAAATTGATTTATTCGCTTGTTAATCTGTTCATCAATTTTTATCTCTTTCTTACAAGCTTATGGCTTTCTGCGATGGTGAATCGTACAAGTTGATACCGGTGTCACAAGATCACAAACGGCTGTTGGACGGTGATCAAGGGCCGAACACCGGTGGAATGGGCGCCGTTGCACCCGTTCGTCCCTTACCGGGTAGTTGGACGCTGGAAGAGTTGGATGAGAAAATTATGAAAGTTGCTGTTGAAGGGATGAAAAAGGCTGGAGTTCCGTTTGTTGGTATGTGTAGCTTCAAATTCTTTTTTACTGTATTTTAGAATTGTTTGGCTAATCGCTGATTTTGATAACATGTATTGTTTTCTCAATTTCTGATTATTCGAAAATGGAATTTGGTTATTATACTTTAATTCCTTCTGAACTTTGGTGAAGATTTGCAAGGATCAAAACTATTACTGTTGAAAGAAGTGTGTATAATATACTTTATTCTTTTATAAACGTCCCCAGCATTCATTTAAATGCTCTATTAAACTTTTCTCCTGGCTTTTAATGGAGACGGATGCTTGTTTACAACATTTGAGACTGTTTGGCAAAATAAAAAAAGAGAGGAAAAATGGGATAAACACAGGTAAAAAAATATGAAAAAACCCTTTGATTGCAACTTTTTCTTGGATAATGGGACAGGAATGCTTCAAGAATTGATTATGGGGAAGAATTTCTTTCTTCAGTTCTTAATACATGGGTGTGAAGGATTTTTTGATTAGGAGAATTCTCTCCATGTCCCCTTTTTCCTTGGCCCGGTTACTACCTGTATTAGAGATCGGCTATTATTTGCTTCAATTTTTCCTGACACCTGGCCTTTATTGAAGACAGACCTCTAATGGAGATCAGACATTTATTGGAGAGAATACAGTGAATGTGATTCAGTTGGGTATGCTGTTTATTTTTCTTATTTTGCTGATTTCTTTTTTGAATCAATCCTTTTTAGGCGTGCTGTATGCCGGTTTAATGATGACGAAGAAAGGCCCCATGGTTTTGGAATTCAATTGTCGTTTTGGTGATCCGGAAGCTGAGGTGGTACTTCCTCTACTCGAATCCGACTTATTAGAAGTCGTGAAGGTACAGTTTCAACCCTTTTAATTTTGGTTTAACTTGTGTTGGTGCTCAATTTAAAATGAGAAACTTTATCATAGAAATTAAAGACAAAAGTTGCGATCGCTCTTTTCAACTGCTGTTGTCCTCGTGAATACTTTTCGTAACCATTGATTCTATGGAAATTCATCAGAAATTTGTGCTTAATCAAAATAATTATTATGTCTTTCGTCGTCGCTTCATTCCTTTTTACTGATTATGAAAGTAATGAAAAATTCAAGTATCGCGCTCAACGGAACCCTCGTGGGAGAAATGCAACCACAATTTTTTTTCAATTCATCAGAAAGATATATTACGATTTAGATGGAATTTGTAGAGTGAGAGAGTTTGAACATTTATGTGAACTTATGAATGTGGTATTCGGAAATCAGGCTTGTGTCGATGGGAAGCTGGGTGACATGGAGGTCAAGTGGAATACGGAAACGAATGTTGTGGGGACGGTTGTGATTAGTGAGGGATATCCTGGTGCTTTCAAAAGTGGTCATGAAATCAAAGGTATGTTTCCATTGTTTTGCAGTTTGCGTTCATGTATTAACCCTTCGTTCAAACTAATCCCCCCCCCCCCCCCCCCCCCCCCCCCCCCCCCCCCCCGCCCCCCCCCCCCCCCCCCCCCCCCCTCTAACCACCCCCCCCCCCCCCCCCCCCCCCCGGGGTTCGTGTGTTCGTGCACGCAACTACACTTCAAGTATCCTTTAGGACTTATAAGCTTAACGCTAATCAAAGTTTTTATCTTTTTTGCACTCGACGACCCAAGCTTAGGGATTTTTTTCCCCATCGGGCAGATGTCATTAGAACCTTTTGAAATTATACTGTATTTGTTTAAATTGGGTTAGACTTGAATGGAAGCTTCCAATCTTTTCCTGGTTCATGAAACTTATCGTAAGATGCACTATGCTTTGCGCCAATTTCATAATTTCTACGCAGCCTACACATCGCCCTGAACTTTCCAAAAAGCTGGTCATCTGTGTCTTTTAGCTTAATACATTTCCCAAATTTACTCGTGCATTTTTCCTTGAAGTAACATTTTCACTCCGTTTTCCTCAAATGTCACGTATATTTTGCCCTTATGTAACTTTTTTTCGAACACCGCCCTTTTTAATAATACAGTATTCTTCGATTATTCTTCGTTGGGGATTCGGGAGATCACCTGCCTGAAATGGAGAAAACATGGTTGGTTGTGCGAAGAAACCTTGATTTTTATTTGATTTCGATGCGATATTACTGCGATAGGACTTTTTTGCACCACAACGTTTCTTAATGCAGTGATGGGTGTTCTTTCTTCAGGTTTGGAGGTGGCGCAAAAAACGCCAGCATTAAAGGTCTTCCATGCCGGTACACGGCTGAGCAACGATAATTCGAACGGCGACGAGTCGAGAATTTTGACGAACGGTGGCCGAGTGCTTTGTGTTGTGGGCTACGGCACGTCGTTGTCTTTGGCCATGGAGAAGTCGACGTCTGGGGCCATGCTTTTGTCGTTCCCAGGTTCCAATTTCCGTCGAGACATTGGTCATCGTTGCCTTCTTCGGTGAGTTTATCTTTTTTTTTTATTCAGTACTGTATTGTGACTATGACGATTTTCGATTTTTGCAGATCAATTTTGGTGCATGGGGAGTTGAGTTATGCCGGGGCTGGTGTGAGCATCGAACGAAGCGATGCGTTTGTGAGCTCTATTGTGCCTCTTGCGGAGATGACGAGGAACAAAGGTCATATGGACTCAATTGGTGGCTTTGGTTGTGCCTTTCGATTGGCGGATGCAGGATTCGCAGCTGATACTTCGATCTTGCTTGCCGGTGCTGACGGCGTCGGCACGAAACTCCTGGTATGTTATAAAGTATTTTTCCTTACTCGTCAGCGAGTGACATCTTGTTTTAACTTGCGGAACAGCCACGTTATTCATTTGTGAAAATTTCTGCATTTTATCTGTCCCAGATCGCTCAGGAAACAAATATTCACCGGACCGTTGGAATTGATTTGGTGGGAATGTGTGTGAATGACATTTTGTGCCATGGTGCCAAGCCGTTGCTTTTCTTGGATTATCTGGCTGCCGGTAAACTCAATCTCAACGTGTCAAAACTTGTGGTTGAAGGAATTGCCGAGGGGTGTTTGATGGCTGGCTGCTGCCTTGCTGGTAAGTCCATGAGCATTCCTTTCGTTTTTCTGTATCACAACGTTTTATATTTGAATTTTTTTTAATTGCCAGAATTATATAGATGTATGATTTATGAAGAGCTGGGAAATTAGCTTCTGCCATCTCGCGCGTTTATTTTTTGTAGAATTGAAAACATGCGCCAACGTAGCCAACGCAGAAATAGATCATTAATTCAGTGATTTTCGACAAACCTAAACTTCATTGCGAAAAATTCGAATACAATAATGTATCCATGTTATGAAGTAGCAATAAAATATAGTACCGTACGTATAGTTTCAAAGCCACTGAATTAAGTTTCCATTAGAGGCTAAATTCAATTTTGCTGTTTTCAAATTTCAGAAAATACTGGTAGACTCTCTACAATGATTTTCTTTGTATAACGCATTGCTTGTGGTCCTATATGGGTTTGTACTTGGTCCACTGCATTTTGATGTAGAAAGATTCCATCTCTATTGAATTTTGAATTGTCGATCTGACGTCTTCTGGCCTATTTCGAAACATGAAATCTGATTTACGCATTTTTTCAAACCCGAATAACGGTAATCATTTGCCGCCGGATCTGACTATCGTTTGAAATCAACTTCTCTTCGCAATCATGTTTTAATGATATCATTCAATCTCCTTTTTTTTTACTTTTAGGCGGAGAGACTGCGGAAATGCCAGGTTTGTATCGTCCCGGAGTGTACGACTTGGCCGGGTTCGCTCTGGGAGCCGTAAGCAGCGACGAAACTCGATTGCCGCGTTCAGAAGACCAATTCAAAGTGGGCGATGTATTGATTGGTTTGCCGAGCAGAGGACTGCATTCTAACGGCTTCAGTTTGGTTCGTGACCTCGTGAAGGCTCGGGGTTTGTCCTGGAACGAGGTTTGCCCGTTTGACCCGGGCAACAGCTTGGGCAAAGCTCTCCTCACGCCGACCAAAATTTACGTCAAGGAGGTGAGCGGGCAAACATAATTACGTTTCTTTCAGTCATGCCTCAGTTAATGGACTTCATCCGTTTCAGTGGAAAGTCCAAAATGAGTAAAGTCTATTATTCGACCTATAAAAATAATCAAATAACTCTTGTGAAGTTGTATGGAATTGCTAATCAATTCGTGGCCCCGGAAATTTCCTTTGAACATTCTTGACTACATTCCGGAATTTTTTGGTCAACGTAAGATGTCATAGGAGTACAAAAAAAAAAAAACATTCAAGCACGTAGGAAACCGTTATAAACGTTTTCCTACAATTTCAAAATAATACTGGCAGCCAATATGTGAGAAACGGATGTCAAAAACGTAGGACTCCTCATAAAAAACTTCTGGAGAAGATCTGGTCTTTGAACCTGATTTATTTCAGTCAAGAATATACTGGTGCTGGTGTGTTGAAAATAAAGCCATCTATTGTTCAAGAAAAAAATTTCTTCACATTTTTCGAATATTGAAAATCAAGCGCGGAAATAGGAAAATATCCGTCGAATGTTCATAAGATCATAACTGCCCGAAATATTCATTTTTTTGTGTATCTCGCTTAGCGTATACAGGTGGACTCTTTCTTCGACGAAATTCAGGGGATCAAAAAAATTCGTTATGCAGAGAAAATCGTTATAGACGAAATCGTTGTAGAGAGAGTCCACCTCTTTCTTGTGGTTAACGAGTGGGGGAAGCTCACTGATAATCTTCGTCGAATTCCCAGAAAGATGAGAATTTTTTGTCGGATTTCCAGGTGCTCCCGGTGATTGAGCGTAAGATGGTGAAAGCAGCAGCGCACATCACTGGCGGCGGAATCCCCGGAAACGTGGTTCGAGTGTTGCCGGATGCGTTTGAGGCGGAGCTGAACGCGAGCGCGTGGACCATTTCGCCGGTGTTCGGGTGGGTGGCGGCCGTGGGGCGCGTGTCGGCCGCCGAAATGCTCCGCACCTTCAATCTCGGCCTGGGCATGGTCCTCGTGGTGGCTGCGCATAATCAGGACGAGGCGACGACGATCCTTCGGGAACGCGGCGGGAATCCGGTGGTTGTTGGACAGCTTAAACTCAGGGAGCCGTCGCTTCCAGGTTTGTTTCGGCATCTAGGACAAATAAAACAGATTTTTTTCAGTTGGGCGCGTCTAAATGCAGCTCAAGCCAGAAAAATATGCTTGTAATTGTTAGAAAGCAGGCGAATGAAAAAAATGTTAGCGAAAAAAGCTTACCAAAGAAGTACAGTATCATCTTTTGTGATAGAATGGGGCAATATATATTTTTGTGATTAAATTTGCTGCTTTCGTGAATATTCGATGATTGGTTCAGGATTTTTATTACGTTTTGTACTTGTCTCGTTGGATGAGTGGATGTTATTTTTATTAATGTTTCTGAAGTACTGTACTGATCAGAACCTTTTTTTGCCATTTGTGTCGTTTTGGACGCGATATCTTAAGACGTGCTCAACTGTCTTGTCACGAATTTGAAAAATGGTTGAGAAAAATTAATTGTGCACAAGAGCAAAAATGATGTTGCTGAATAGTTCTTGATGGTTAGACACTGTGAGCCCAATTTTTACAGCCCAATTCTCATCAAATACTGTATCAAAAATCTTCAGTTCTTCTATGTATTTTTTTCCGTCGGTTGTGTTCTTAATAAACTTTTCATGTATTTCTTGTCCAAAAAAACAGATTCTGGGCAACGAGTGAAAGTTACGAACCTTATCCCATCTCTGGAGAAGGCGATGAAACCGTTTTTGCCGTTGGTGATGACGCGGCAGATCCCGCGCGCCGAAGACGGTCGAACGAAGAAGCGCGTGGCTGTGCTAATTTCCGGCACTGGCACGAATTTGCAAGCCTTGATTGACGACACGCGGGAGCCGAAACACGGACGTCACTCGGAAATCGTCCTGGTCATTTCCAACAAGTCGGGGGTCGCTGGGATCACTCGGGCCGAGGAAGCTGGCATCCCTGTTGAGGTGAGAGTCCTTTCAGTTTATTGCACGAAGACGCTCTGGTTAATGTTCCTGATCCGTTCCGGTGAAGTCAATTATCCCGGAACGTATGTCAGCCAAGTGAAGTAGAGCGAGATGAAATGTTTCTCGAACCCCCGGAAAGTTGTTCCAATTCTGTAATGTGAAGCTACTGTAAATGGAGCACATTAATCTCTGGTGCATCCCAGATTCTCTGGACATTTCATTCGTAAATTTAATAAATTCCTAAGCCAACTATTAATACTGTACTGTAATTAGATTAAATTATGTTGAATAACTGCATGGGGCTACGGAACAAGGAGAAAGTGCTAAACATGATCATGAATATCATAAAACTTAAATTTAATAAAAAAATATTACTAATTGTTTGCAAGGGTTTTCAGTTTTACAAAGGGATTTTTCATGCTGAATAATGAGGTTTGAGAATCTTATTCAATGATATAGCTTCTTTGAAGATTTTTCCGTGAAGCAGGGTAATGCCGAACTTCATGGGTTAAATTAGATCGTGGGTTCACTGATGGGTTCATATATGGAGGAACACTGTGGCGGAGATAAAAAAGAAAGAAGGAGAACCCGTTTCCTTTTGGGTTATCCTCAATTAGCTTTTAATAATCCATTGTTCATTTTTAAATTAAGGTGGTGTCTCACCAAGATTTCAAATCAAGAGAAGAATTCGACCAAGAGCTGCATAGAATCCTCAGTTGGTGGCAGATCGACCTGGTTGTTTTGGCTGGTTTCATGAGGATACTTTCGCCTTGGTTTGTCCAACAATGGCGAGGAAAAGTCCTCAACATTCATCCGTCCCTATTACCCGCTTTCAAGGGTCTTGATGCCCAGAAGCAAGCGCTTGGAGCCGGCGTCCGAGTTTCCGGCGCCACGGTACATTTTGTCGATGTAAGTACTGTATAACCTCTTTAAGTCAAACTTCAAAAAACAAAAATAAAAATCTCGTTAGGGAAACGAGCATTTTTGTTGGGGGGGGGGGGGAAGTACTGTATTAAAAAGAAAATATTAATGTTCTGGGTCTTCAATTGCTGCATAAATGATTTGACGGGATGCAGAATGTGGAGGCAAGGGTTCATTTGCCCGAATAGTCTCTCACTGATCAAGTTACATTTTTCTTAGCTTTTAGATTTCCTATGTGAATAAAATAATAGCCAAGAAGTCTTCAGAAAATTCGAGTTGTGAAGGTTTGAAGGGGAAAAGACTTTTAGTTAGAAAGAAGTTTAGTACTTTAATGCATTGTTCTTGGCGGAATTCACGCAAGGATCTAAAAAAAAATTCGTCATGGGTATATATTGTATTTGATTTAGGAAGGTTAAAGTTATATCAAGTTTCAACTGTACACAGGACAAATTTCATATGAAAAATACTGTAAATATAATTTTGAATATATAGAACATGTACTGAACTTGATTTTTCATGCATAATGTTTGTCTAATTTTTACTTCACTTTAAAGAGTGTTTGTGTTACGTCGGAAATTCGCCTAATGTACTGTGTTGCAATTGGGATTTTTGTGAATGAAATGCAAAAGGTTTTCCGTGTGATTATGAACAAATTTTGATTTTTTTGCTGCAGCCGGAAGTGGACTCTGGGTCCATAATTGCTCAAGAACCGGTCCGAATCAATCCGGTAGAAGACAGCTTGGACGACGTGATTGAGCGAATAAAAGGCGTGGAACACGTCATCTTCCCGCAAGCTCTGGAACTCGTCGCTTCCGGTCAAGTTCGTTTCAACGACCCGGCTTCCGGCGATGACTGAAGGTGATGTTAGTGGGCCTTCAAACGAAACAGAAAGGATGAAAGGAGAGAACTCACACAGACACATCCACACTGCCTTTGCTCTATACCCGCTGGGCTTTTGTTTTCGTGTTTTATTTTGTTTTGTCAAACACTGAAACGGATGCAGCTGATGTGTAGCAGTCCGATGACGTTTTCTTGTGCGTGAAAGCGATGTACTCAAACGCGTGCCTTGTGCTCGTTCCCTGCTGTATTCGTCCCCTTCGGCTCGGTTGGTTCCTCTGTGAATAATTACACCGATTGTTTATTGTTTTGCTTGTGGACATTCCAGCGCATTCTTTTTCCCTGTTTCGCGTCGAATAGGAGGACTAACTTGGGTCGTAGTTGCTTGCTCCACTCCCGGGGATACGATGTATTTTGAAAAATACTCTAGTGCTTCTGTTCTGTCGCAGAAGTTGAGAGCAGAACGACGACGAAGAAAGCAGATGATTGAATCAAAATGAAAAAGAAAAGCTGCGATGAATTTTTTTTCGAAGCTGAACGATTTAACGCTGGCTGGCCGAAAAAGGGGAAAACAAGTTTTCCGTTTCGAACTCGGGCGGAATTTTTTTTTCAACAGTTGTTCATGTCGGCGGGCTAAAGTTGTTTCGCAGTCTTGTTGCACATGGAACGAAGTGCAATTTTTTCAAATGAATTCAGTTTTTTCTGTTGCCATGAATAAAGAAAGGTTTCTTTTATTGTTTTTTGTTCTGGAGGAAATCGTGTCTGACCTCTTGCGTTTGATTGTGCTGAAAGCTGGGCTGTGCGAATGCTCCTGGCATTGATAACATTCACGGAAAAGAAAAACGATTTTTATTTCGAAAGAGAAAGTTTCGACGCGTTCGGCGATGGTGGATGAGATTCGGTTTTATTTCGTTTATTAATTTTTTGGGGAGGTTGTGGGCCTGCTGCTGTCAATTTTATCGATTGCTTCTGGCTTTGAGCTGTGAATGGAATATCGAGAGCTTTTCGTGAACGCTCCTTGACGCATTGTCACGTACATTTTCCTAACTCACATCCCGTCTTTCGTAACTATTTTGTGTGGATTCTCTCACCTTTTGGCCCAGTTCCGCAGATTTCGTAAATTTTTTTGATGTAGCCCGTGACGCAACGCGTTTGAGTCCGCTAATTTTCCCAAAATGGGGAGATACGCGCGTCGTGTTCGTTCTTATTTGCGTCAGAGACGCACTTGCCGACACGTCCTCATCATTTGGATCTCCATTATCGCCTTTTCAACTTTCTATTTGGCACTCAAAGTCGTCGACATTCCGAGTCGTGGCCATGATGAAAGTCCGCAGGTGTGGTCAAACTATCTCAGTTGTACGTAGAACACAGTGGTGTCTCAGGTGACGAACTTGATCCGTTTCCTACGAAGTTCATTATCCGAAAATCCTTTAACGGAATAACTTTGAGCTTTTCAGAAAAATATAATCCGTTTTAGATTCCTTGGAAATTTCCCTCATGAATTATAGCGTATATTTTATTGAAGAAATAAATGTTCCGCGTGAAAGAACGAGTATGACAAACGAAGAAAACGAGACACGATCCATGAATAATTTTAGAAGTTTTGATCAACTTGAGAAATGATTCTGTCAGGCACATTTTCCAATGCAGTTTCTATTTGGTGAGTAAAATCACTTTTCATGCGATGTATCCTCTGAGCAGGGTCCACTTCCCCAAGCAAAAAATAGTGTCAGCTGTAGTCCGTATTACAAAACATCCGTTGTGCGAGGCGTATATGAAAAAAAGAGTTGACTTGAAATTAATTTCGATTTTAGGACGATGGTGTGAAAGATGTCGAGAGGATAAAGAGTGAGGCACCTGTTGTTGCCTCTGGAAGTAGCTGTGCTGTTCCTGTGGTGATTCCTTCCCAAGTGCATGTAAGTGCCTTTACATGACTTTTACTTCGATGTTCATGACTGGATAGAACGCCATTCGGTCGCGAATTATAAACGAAAAAAATTGTCGTCTTCGATTGTAGAGGGATATCTGGTTTCCGCGCAATGCTTAGAAGGAAGGTTTATCTGTAAAACATATTTTTACGTATTTATTCAACGTTTTTCCTTCAACATGTTTGGATATCGTAGCAAATACTTTGTTATTTCCGTGGAAAACTTCAAATAATTATTTAAATATGTCGATGCAGTTGAGCAAGATCTCATATTCATCGCTTACTGAGCCTTTTGTTCTTCTCCGCTGCGTGTGACACAGTTTCGATAATCCGTTTCCAAATTTTTGTTGATGCAGATGCTGGATGTTTATCGTCATTTGAAATTCGAAAACCCTGACGGCGGCGTTTGGAAACAAGGCTGGAACGTAACTTATTCAAAGGCGTCCGTACCTAAGCTTCGTGTGTTCGTCGTGCCTCATTCTCATAACGACCCCGGTTGGAAGCAAACTTTTGAGGAGTACTTCCGTACTCAAACCAAGGCCATCTTTGACAATGCTATTCGGAAACTGCCGGAGGACTCTCGTCGGAAATTCATTTGGGCAGAAATTTCTTACCTCTCACTCTGGTGGGATCAGGCGAAACCGAAGGAAAGAGAAATCATGAAAACGTTGATCAAGCGGGGACAGATTGAAATAGGTTCGCGAAATTGTGGGTTATTTTGTCCGGGGTGGTTTAGATTTTTCCTGAATTTTTTTCTTCTTCAGATTTTTGGTCTACAATTAGTTTAGCTTGTAATTAGGGGCATCTACCTGTCGTTCGAACGTGTGAAGATGTGTTTTGTAATGTAAAGATCGCCATGATTTCATGTATTCTATTTTTTCTCATGCATATTTTCCTCAATTTTTCCACGTTTCAGTTACTGGTGGTTGGGTGATGCCTGATGAAGCAAATTCTCACTATTGGACTCTCATCGAGCAATTGATTACTGGGCATGAGTGGCTGAAAAATGCCATTGGATTTGAACCGGTCAACGGATGGTCGATTGATCCTTTCGGACTCAGTTCAACCTATGCCTTTGTTCTTCAGAAAGCAGGCTTTGAAAACATGTTAATCCAGGTATGTTTCGAAGATATTACGAAGCTAGATCAAGTGAAGATACCAGTGACTTATTGAAAATATTTTTTTTGTTTTTATCAAGATTTTCTTTGAAGTGATGCTAGATGTTGTATTCGCCTGAAAATGTATTTTGGTGACCCGATCCACGGGTTAAATTGAAACTCTTCGAATTTACAGAGGCTCGTTTCATGTCTTGTTATTGACATATTATTTTGGAGGACTCTCGTTTGGTTGCCAAAGTTATCAAAATACTGTACTGTACTGCCAATCTACTCAGTTAACTTTCGTAAGAAGTTTCGAGGTTTTGATTTTGATCAGCGTCGCGTCTTTTTTTAAAATTTTTTTAATCTAATTTTTCTTGTGTAGATTGAAAAGAGTTCATTATTTATCCGAATGTATTTCTTTGTCTAGCGAGTTCATTACGCCATAAAGAAGGAATTAGCCCTTCGGAAGCAACTGGAATTTGAGTGGAAACAAGCGTGGGCGTCCAGGGGAATCACGTGCCACTTGATGCCGTTTTATTCGTACGACGTGCCGCATACGTGTGGCCCGGACCCGAAAGTGTGTTGCCAGTTTGACTTCAAACGGCTTCCCGGCACGGGTGTGACGTGTCCCTGGCGGGTTTCCCCGGTCCCGATCACTTCCGAAAATGTTGAAGCACGTGCACACGTCATCATGGACCAGTATCGAAAAAAGGCGGAATTGTACGCTTCCAATGTTGTTCTCATACCCTTGGGAGATGATTTTCGCTTTGTTTCTCCCCGTGAGTGGGACGACCAGTACAACAATTACCAAAAATTGTTTGACTTCATCAATGCTGATACTTCACTCAATGCTGAGGTTAGTTTAGTTTGAGGAATTTTTTTTATAACGCGTTTGTGAGATGTAATCGATTTCTAGATTCAAAATGTTGCATTGTCATCGATGATGCCCTTGGATGTTTATTTATTTTATTTACCATTAGGTGAACTTCGGAACGCTTTCCGATTATTTCAATGCGCTGAGATCAGAAGAAGCTTTTGAGGATTTGCCTTCGCTGACTGGAGACTTCTTTTCTTACAACGATCGTAACGACAATTATAACCGTTGTCGGTGAAGTCATACTCGCTCAAGTTCGGTGTCGAGTCGAAAGAGAGCTTTGCGACAGTGACGGTGCATGACGGGGGTTTGGAGTCGACGCAGGATTGGTCTCGAGGACTCCCGACGCAGTTTGAGAGACGGCGTGCTAGTGACGACGAGTTTTCCATTGGATTCTCTGATACACTGTTGTTTGACTCATCGGGGAATTTGAAGAAGGTCCTGTTTGCTGATGGAACCGGGATGAACGTGAAGGTCAAGTCAATTCAGTACGGGACCAGGTCACACGGGGAGGCCAGTGGTGCGTTTTTCTTCCTCATCCAAAATATGCTCTTGGTAAACGGAAAGAATGCCGTGATTCGGTCTAGTGACGTTCAAGAACCCCCAGTACCTAAATGAGTTGAAAAGTTTTGCTAGTGTTGCATTTTTTTCTTTGGATGCATGTAGACGGACGTGATGATCACAGGGTAATACTGTATTTTATCATTTCTGGACCCTTGTAAATTTTCCACACCCAGGCTTGTAACAAAGGGATTTGAGGCTGAACTTAATTTGTCTTGCTTTTTTGAATGATGCGTAATTATTGTGGGCAGGCCAAGAGCCAAGAAATATTTAAAATTTCTTTAAAATGCTAGTGGACTCAAAATCAAAGCGAGGATTTTTTAAATCATCTAAACGGTCTTTATCGCCTGGCGTGAAAAAAGAAACGCCAAATCCAAGCCTGTTTTATATTTCGTTTTTATGATTTTCAATGAGCTGATCTAACGAGTAGAGTAAGCGTATTTGAATCTTTTATAGTCGCTGAGAAAACGTTACCAAGTGCTTTTTACGATGGTTCAGTAGTGCGTTCGAAAGTTGACACCAAGAGTGGTTTAAGATGACTTGCGAAGAGTCAGATTTCATTCAAAAATTCGCCATTCTTCAGAGTGACATTCCAGGATTGGTAATGATTTTCTCTTTTTTGCGGAGCTTTTTTTTTTATGAGAACGTATCTAAATATTTTACAATGCTGTACTATCTATTCTGTTTCTTCTCGTCAGGTGCGTATTTGTTTCTGCCGGACGGTCCTGCTAAGGATTACGTCGTCCGAGATCCGGCCCCAGTTGTGCGAATCGAAGGTCCGCTGATGATGCAAGTTGTCGTTCACACACCACTGGTTCGGAGGGTCGTCTCGATCATGGATTCCACTGGGGTCAGCGGATTGGGAATATCAATCAAGAACTTCGTGGATATCCATACGGTGACGGATAAAGAGCTGGGAATGCGCATCGAAACCGACGTCGAGTCCGGCACAGCGTTTTATACCGACTCCAATGGCTACCAGGTGACTAGTCTACGAATTTCCTTGTGCCGTCTACCGTGTAATGCTTGGTTCTTTCTTGCTGGAGCTACTTCCGTAATTTCTTGCCCCGTCTGTGGAACTGCTTTCGTAATAATGTTCGAAGATTAGGCTAAATTTGTGAGATATGTTCAGCTGGTTAATTTGGGATGCATTAAAGTACTGTTAGGTAAGTTATGACCTACAGTGTTTAGTTATGTTGGATTTGATTCACGCGAATATGAGCACCCTCTAGATTTTTCATGAACAAAATTAAAATTCCCTCATTAGTCGAATATAAGAACCCACTTATTCTTCTGGTTTTCTGGCTTTCTAGGAACCTAAAATTTCAGACTGAATTTAGGTTTTCCCCAGGAAAAATGGTAGCGTCACACGATGGTTGCTCTTTTTATTCAGTCCCTTACTCATGCATCTTTAATTGCTAGCTGAGCATTTCTTGTTTATTTATAACGTAAATTCCAAAGAACTGAAGAAAGGAAGAATGCTGGGTCCATTTGTGGGCAGCAAGAAGGAACATTTCCTGATATACACGTACCGGTAAATTCATGTGAATTGCATAAATATGCAAATTTAAGTGGGGCGACATCTACCTGACGTTCGAACATGTGGATTTAAGCAACCCCTTTGTGTTGGAAAAAGGGGTTCTTATATTCGCGTCAATACTGTACAGTGGATGCATTATTCGGTTATCTTATATACAGTATGACGTGAGTATTAGCCTAAAGTTGGGTCTCCGTGTTTGCAGTGGCAACGCTTTGATGTACATTACGTTGAAAAAAAATTTAAATTAGTATGATGGGCAGCTTTAGCAACGATCTACCCATTTTTTTTTTCCGCAAAATTCTGGAAGATGAGTTGGAGAGTTACTCCTGGAGACAAGCGTTTAATTTTCACACAAGATATTAATTTTTCAGAGCAAGTCCGTTTGCTTTTAAAAATGTTCTGTACATAATTCTATTATAAAACCAACCAACAGGATTTTTTCGGGGGATTGCTGGGCAAAAACTGAACGTCTCCTTGAATTCCAGATGATTCGTCGCGAGAGGTTCGAGAAATTTGGCATCCAAGGGAACTTTTACCCAATGGCAGCTTCAGCCTACGTGGAAGACATTTCTTGGAGATTCACAGTGCTGGCCCAGCAGCCCGCCGGAGTGTCGAGCCAGGACTCGGGCGCCCTGGAAATAATTCTGGACCGACGATTGTCTCGCGATGACGATCGCGGTCTGGGCCAGGGCGTCATGGACACCGTCTTCACGGAAGCCGATTTCCGGATCCTGATTGAGCGACATGACGGGATGGATGATGCGCGTGTGCCGGCTTTGTCGATGGCGGCGAATGCCGCCTCGGAAGCTCTGTTGCATCCTCTGGTTAAGCTTCTGGCCAGGATTGGGCCAGAAAATTTGGCGGAGAAGAGCCTTGGGTTCCGACTGCTTCCGGGGCTGAGCAGTGGGCGGGAAAAGGCAGAGACGCCGTGTGATTTGGAGTTGACGCATTTGCGGGCCATGGGTGACGGAAGAGGGACGCCGCGGAGTGCCGGGGCGGTATTTCGGCGTCGAGCGAGTGCGTGTGGGATTGCGGACGGGGTGGAGAAGAAGCTCCGGTGCTTGAAGCAGTACGACCAGGTTGGTGTTTCGTATTTCATACGATCTCAACCGCTATGAAAAATTGAGTTTTTACGAAAAATTGCTGCGTGTGTCGTCGTAGGACTTGACTTTGGAAGAAGTACTTGGTCCTGACCTGGCAGCTCATCCGGAAGCATCGACGATAACTTTTAGGAAGTTGGAGTCCTCGATTGACGACCTGACATTGGACTTGTCTCCCATGGACCTCAAAGCATTTCTACTCAAGTTGCCGCCTTGAGCTTTAATTTATTTTACGATTCGACTCGGAAACTGGATTTTCCTTTGCCCATGGTCTGAAGCATTCAGTGCTCCTTTTTTTCAAAACAATCGAAGCATTTTGTTGTTTTGTTTGATGTATGTGTTTTTGATGAGGCCTCACGACGTTTGGAAGATCGGAAACTGGTCCAGTAAGCGTTTTATAATTTTGAAATGGGTTTCGCTGTGAACTTGTGCATAACTTAAATATTGACGACGTTGCATTAATTCCGAATGCGTGACCGCTTTTTTCGCATGTTTCTTGTGAATCCGGACTGTTTTCTCGAGTTTTCATTCATGCATGAAGCTTTTTGAGTTTGTGATTTGAAACGTGTTGTTTAGGGAAATGACTGCTGGGTCATTAAGGAAATACTCGAGAGAAACTGCTTTCCTTGCCATTTTTGTTTTTGTTTTAGCCAGTCCTCTTCGGTGGGAACAGTTGGGGGTTGAAATTTCTGTTCCGAAGTACGTGGTATCCCGGAGCAAGGAAGAGCATTTCTTGTTCTCGTTTGCTGTGATAAATTGGAAATAGTTCTCGGAAAGGAGAATGATGTTTAATTAGACTGATTTTATTTCTTTGTACGCATTTTGATATCCTCCAAGTGGATAAAGGACTCTCAAGGATTCTTCATCAAATTATTCATGAGACCCTCGATTTCAACCTTTCGATTTTCTCCTTGAATAACTACAGTATTGTATAAAGCCTGGTTTTTTTTTTTAAGGATCGTATGAATTGACTTGTACTTATCCAAATTTATCTAAACTCCCTTTAGTTCATTATCGGTATTCTTTGAAAACGTATTTCAGAGCCACTAGATTTTTGTCATGGATCTTGATTTTTGAAAGTCTGTCCGGAAATTCAACATCAACAAATTTTAAATGTCATCGGACAACTTTGGAAAGCTGCGAAACTGTCTTTGACCATTCGTGATTTTCACCAAATCATTTATGTGCAATATTTCCAGAGACTTTTTGTTGATCTGGAAAAGGATAATCCAATTCCCGCGAAGTCAATATGAAAATCAACTGAATTTGCCGAAAAAGATATTTCTGCAAATTCAGTTGCTTTGCATTTTAATCTTTCAGGAATATTTTTTTCTTTAATCATTTTTAAACTTCTGGGAAAGAACATCTTCGTTTTTTACCCCTGCAATGATGGGTTTACGTTAACTGGAAACTTCCCGGAATATCTTTGGATAAGGTCATGTCCAAATTTAAATCTTGTAACCGGAACAATAAATGGCCATTTGTTATTAAGTATTGTCAAGGGCTGTTTCCTAAGAATTAACCATGTAGCATTTTTTTAATACGTGTAAATTAAAATTTTCATTTTTTTCCTGGATCTCCCCAATAATTAACCAACTACATGTTTAAAAAAAAAAGTTTAATTCGATAATGTGAGTTGCTAGAAGGCATTCAGAAAATGAATTAAATCGTGTTTTTTTCTGGAGGATATCGAAATGCAGACTCCTTTCCCATATTCCTTAATTTTTGTCCAGTATGTTTCATGCAAATTTTTTATTGTCATTCGGTGCAGATGGCGGAGTTACACCTGATAGGGCAATTGGTGGGTGCAATCGATTTCAGCAGCGGTTCTTGTTTATTCTGCAAGTGGTCTGTCAGTGCAGGAGGCAGTTGGAGGTTGCTGGGCGGCGCCGAGAGCGGACAAACCCAAACGGCGGCTGGAACCATGGTGACCGGCTCCGAAAGTGGTCAATGGTTTTGGAGTCACCCCATTGACGTTCACTATGCCACTAAGGGTGTCCAAGGATGGCCCAAGCTCATGTGTCAAGTGAGTCATTATTTGTGGAGTGTGGAATGGATCTTTTCATTTTCGCTACTCTTGAACGTTAAATACTTCTACCTTTGTTTTTCTATTTCCCGTCCCGAAAATAGGTTTTTCATTTGGACCTGCATGGAAGGTGTGTGTTGGAAGGATACGGCGTGACGCATTTTCCTGCTTCGCCGGGATTGCATCAGGTGAATAATTCATAGAATTTTGATCTAATAAATACTGTACACTTAGATCTTAACTTTTGACAGTCTGGGAGGCTGTATTTTATTTTTAGTTTCTGGTGATCATTTTTCATGTGCCAAAGTTTGATTTCGGTAATCTACAGGCGCAATTCAAAATTTTTTTTTTACTTTTTTAAAAATTGTTGATGTGATTTGAGTATTTTTGTATGTGCACCAAATTTTAATTTGTGTTGCATTCTACAGTATTTCTTAAATACTGTATATTTTCAGAAAACAGGTGAGCATGGAATGAATTTGGTACTGTAATTGATTTTTTTTAAAGAAACTCATGTGTTTATTGTGGGGTTGGATTTATTTTAGGATTAAGGTGTACTGTGGGATATATTACATGTTGGAAAAGGTATAGAAAATGGTATGGAAAATGTGACAAACCTTCAATTTTTACCATGTTTCCTAANGAAGCAGTACGACCAGGTTGGTGTTTCGTATTTCATACGATCTCAACCGCTATGAAAAATTGAGTTTTTACGAAAAATTGCTGCGTGTGTCGTCGTAGGACTTGACTTTGGAAGAAGTACTTGGTCCTGACCTGGCAGCTCATCCGGAAGCATCGACGATAACTTTTAGGAAGTTGGAGTCCTCGATTGACGACCTGACATTGGACTTGTCTCCCATGGACCTCAAAGCATTTCTACTCAAGTTGCCGCCTTGAGCTTTAATTTATTTTACGATTCGACTCGGAAACTGGATTTTCCTTTGCCCATGGTCTGAAGCATTCAGTGCTCCTTTTTTTCAAAACAATCGAAGCATTTTGTTGTTTTGTTTGATGTATGTGTTTTTGATGAGGCCTCACGACGTTTGGAAGATCGGAAACTGGTCCAGTAAGCGTTTTATAATTTTGAAATGGGTTTCGCTGTGAACTTGTGCATAACTTAAATATTGACGACGTTGCATTAATTCCGAATGCGTGACCGCTTTTTTCGCATGTTTCTTGTGAATCCGGACTGTTTTCTCGAGTTTTCATTCATGCATGAAGCTTTTTGAGTTTGTGATTTGAAACGTGTTGTTTAGGGAAATGACTGCTGGGTCATTAAGGAAATACTCGAGAGAAACTGCTTTCCTTGCCATTTTTGTTTTTGTTTTAGCCAGTCCTCTTCGGTGGGAACAGTTGGGGGTTGAAATTTCTGTTCCGAAGTACGTGGTATCCCGGAGCAAGGAAGAGCATTTCTTGTTCTCGTTTGCTGTGATAAATTGGAAATAGTTCTCGGAAAGGAGAATGATGTTTAATTAGACTGATTTATTTCTTTGTACGCATTTTGATATCCTCCAAGTGGATAAAGGACTCTCAAGGATTCTTCATCAAATTATTCATGAGACCCTCGATTTCAACCTTTCGATTTTCTCCTTGAATAACTACAGTATTGTATAAAGCCTGGTTTTTTTTTTTAAGGATCGTATGAATTGACTTGTACTTATCCAAATTTATCTAAACTCCCTTCAGTTCATTATCGGTATTCTTTGAAAACGTATTTCAGAGCCACTAGATTTTTGTCATGGATCTTGATTTTTGAAAGTCTGTCCGGAAATTCAACATCAACAAATTTTAAATGTCATCGGACAACTTTGGAAAGCTGCGAAACTGTCTTTGACCATTCGTGATTTTCACCAAATCATTTATGTGCAATATTTCCAGAGACTTTTTCTGTTGATCTGGAAAAGACCAATTCCCGCAAAATCAATTTGAAAATCAACTGAATTTGCCGAAAAAGATCGTTCTGGAATTTCAGTTGTTATCATTTTAATCTTCCGGGAATGTTTTTTTTTTCTCAATCATTTTCGAACTTCTGGGAAAGGATATCTTGTTCATGTACCCCTGGAATGATGGGTTTACGTTAACTGGAAACTTCCCGGAATATCTTCGGATAAGGTCATGTCCAAATTTAAATCTTGTAACCGGAACAATAAATGGCCATTTTTTAAGTAATGTCAAGGGCTTTTCCCGAAAAATTAACCATGTAGCATTTTGTTAATGCGTGTAAATTAAAAAAAAATTTCCTACATTTCCCCAATAATTAACCAACTACGTGTTTTAAAAAAAAAGTTTAATTCGATACTGTGAGCTGCTAAAAGGCATTCAAAAAAATGAAAATCGTGTTTTATTTTGGAGGATATCGAAATGCAGACTCCTTTCCCATATTCCTTAATTTGTTTCCAGTATGTTTCATGCAAATTTTTTATTGTCATTCGGTGCAGATGGCGGAGTTACACCTGATAGGGCAATTGGTGGGTGCAATCGATTTCAGCAGCGGTTCTTGTTTATTCTGCAAGTGGTCTGTCAGTGCAGGAGGCAGTTGGAGGTTGCTGGGCGGCGCCGAGAGCGGACAAACCCAAACGGCGGCTGGAACCATGGTGACTGGCTCCGAAAGTGGTCAATGGTTTTGGAGTCACCCGATTGACGTTCACTATGCTACTAAGGGTGTCCAAGGATGGCCCAAGCTCATGTGTCAGGTGAGTCATTATTTGTGGAGCGTGGAATGGATCTTTTTTCGCGACTCTTGAATGTTGAATACTTTTACCTTTTTTTTCTATTTCCCGTCCCGAAAATAGGTTTTTCATTTGGACCTGCATGGAAGGTGTGTGTTGGAAGGATACGGTGTGACGCATTTTCCTGCTTCGCCGGGATTGCATCAGGTGAATAATTCATAGAATTTTGATCTAATAAATATTGTACACTTAGATCTTAACTTTTGACAGTCTGGGAGGCTGTATTTTATTTTGAGTTTCTGGTGATCATTTTTCATGTGCCAAAGTTTGATTTCGGTAATCTACAGGCGCAATTCAAAATTTTTTTTTTACTTTTTTAAAATTGTTGATGTGATTTGAGTATTTTTGTATGTGCACCAAATTTTAATTTTTGTTGCATTCTACAGTATTTCTTAAATACTGTATATTTTCAGAAAACAGGTGAGCATGGAATGAATTTGGTACTGTAATTGATTTTTTTAAAAGAAGCTCACGTGTTTATTGTGGGGTTGGATTTATTTTAGGATTAAGGTGTACTGTGGGATATATTACATGTTGGAAAAGGTATAGAAAATGGTATGGAAAATGTGACAAACCTTCAATTTTTACCATGTTTCCTAAAAAAGTGGTGTTCTACTCATCTACTGTATACTGTACTATATTTAGTAAATAGTACCCATAGTTACTTGAGTACCTCATACCCTTGAGTAAGATGCACATGTTGATTTTGCAAAGGAAAGTGTATGTAAAAATATGCCCCCACAACATGCATTCACTCAAGGGTTTTTGTGATCAATAAATTCAATTTGTAAAATTGACTGACCTTAAGAAATGATATCACCTGGATTGTCTTTAAATTCCAGTTGGATTCTTTGACAAAGATCCATTGATATGCGCTGTTGAACTTATTCACAACAAAAAGAAAGAGTTGGAAATACATTTTTATTAGTGAAGTCAAGTTTTATGTATGTCTCCATGCATGCCCAGCCAAGTGTATCTGCAGCAATGATTCAATTGGGACTCTCAATTTGAAATGAACAATTCTTCATATTACAGTACTTTCAATCAGCAACTAAAAGGGATACTTGTTGAATTTTTCTTGAGAAAATGAGGTTGATTGGTTTTTCAAATGTATGGTTCTCTCTTTCAATTTTTCTAGGTGACAATACCATGCTGGAAGCCATGCAGTGGATCCCTCAAAGACCAACTGGTCAAGACATTCTTGGGTGGTTCCGTGGTTTTGCGCAACCCTCAAATGGCTGCAGGTCCAGAAGACAGATACAAGCTGAAAACGTCGGGCTCAGGATCAGTGCTGGTTGAGATTAATGTGATATCGAGACATTTCAACAAATTCGGTGTTCATCTGGGGTGAACGAATATTTTGTCTGATTTTGATTCATTCCGTCCCATTTGACTGTGTTTCAATGTTGTAGCTTATCTCTGAATGGTCTCGCTTGCTCAGATTGCGTTGTATACGTACAAAGTTTGTCTAGTCTTTGTATTTTTTGGTGAATATATGATGGTCTCGTCCGGTGATATGAAATGTCTGTTGTTTTGATTCATTTCTACCCTGTGAAATATTTAGTGAGACCCTGAGATGCGGACATAATTGGTGCAGCAAGACTGCCCTGATGTCAGAATGTCCCTAAGTTGAGTCTCATTTTCCCTTGGACTTCAATGCTATAATGTATTTAATTGGCTCTTCTTTTTTTGAAAATTAGAAATGAGTCTTCAAAAAGTATAATAAAAATGGTTTTCCTCAACTTCAAGTTGTAGAAAACATCAGTCCAGAACAAACCCACATGAAATCTGATCTTTTGGTATCAAAAAGCAAAGAAAAAGAATAAGTCTTGATAAAATATGCACAGATGATGGGAAAAAAACTCTGATAGAAGCAGCACAAAAGCAGCCTGCTTTTAATTATGAATTTCAGTGAATTTATCATGAAATATTTGTAAAAAAAAATTCAATATTAATACTGTAGCTTGATTTCATCAAAATTGAAAAATAAAATGTTTCAATTTTTTGGGAAAATTTCAGGAAAGTGTCTCAAACCTGAGCAAATCTCTGGATGTCAGGCCTGTTTTGTTTGTTTTCATGTGTCCCAATGTCAAATTGTCTCTATATCTGGGTCTCACTGTACTTGAGTATACTACAGTACTTGTCCTTGCAAAAGATGCACACCTTTTATTTTGGAGCTATAAAATCAGGAAAATAATATAAATAAGATCCGTAAAATTGTTTTCAGCTGTAACAAAGACATCACTTGAGTGTAACAAACATTTGTATGCCAATTTCAGATTCCTTGAGTGGATTATGCTTTGTTAAAATACCATGCCTTCAAATAATAATGTACCTGGAGAGAAACTGTACAAGTGTACAGTACAGTACTGTAATTTTTCACATGGCTGTTGTAAAAATGTGGATGTACAGTACATGAAGATGGAATCAACTGTAATATAAAAGCTGTGAATTCTATTAAAATAATTCTTTAACTATTCTTGAGTGCTCCATCAACTTGAACCTTTTCTTCTGCTTACTGCAGCGGGACGCCATTGTGAGCATAAATACAATTAATTGCTCCAATTGCTGATTGTACAATAAACAACAATAGCATCAATTGTGCCAAGTCACCGCTGCTCCTTTCGTTTTGTGTCACTGAGAGTTTGCTTGGCACCAAGCGAAAGGTTTTCTAGTACACAGGAAAACTACGATGCTTTCCTTTATAAACTGAGCAGATGTTCCAAGAACTTCAAGTTGGAAACATCACATTGTACACTGTTGTAAACGATTTGTATTATCGAGTGAATCTAGACCGAATAGTTCGATACATATACAGCAGTACAGGAGAACGCAAAATGGAACGGATTGTGATCTTTTCTTCGCTCGTCGTGTTCTTGGCGACTTCTGTTTATGCTGGACGAAGCGTTTCATCTTCGCCTGATGAAAATAAGCTGGCAACGACATCGGAAGCAGCCCTTGATAATATTATGGCTGATCTAATAGCAGCCTACCAACAAAGACTTCTAGCAAGACGAGGTGAGTTCCCCCTAAAATTGGAACAAATTTCAATAATTTCCTTTTGTTACTGTTGTACAGTCAAACCCCGTTAAAATGTGTCCCCCAAAATAAAGCGCCACCCTCGGCAACTGCCAAAATTTTGTGTGAAAAAAATCTCCATTTGTTAAATTCTATAGAAAACCTGGATAAGACGCCAACTGCCATCTGCCAGCATTAGTGATGAAGCAAAAGTGCTGTTAACTAATAGTTTTGTAGATTTGAATATTTTTTGAACAAATGGACCTTTTTATATTCACAGAAGTTAAAAATGAATTTAATCATGCATTTATATTTACTTGAATTCATAATCAAAAAAGTTTAATTTTTTGCTTATTTTATTTAGCATTATTTCAAAAATCTGTGCACAAGGATAGCAAGACTTGTACTTTTTGTTTGTACAGTATTTTTGAGTCCTTTTGATGCCAGAAGACATCATATGTTTGTGTGGTTATCTTTTATTTTAAATAGTTATATTCTGTATCTTAAAGTTGAGAAACACATTTTATTTGATTTTTGGGGGTTTATTCCTAATTTTTGATGAACAGGAGAACCAATTGAATTAGTTCCCATTATTGGAAGTAATTTATACATGGGAAAACAAGGTCCAACATGATGTGGACATTCTGACATAGGGACACTGTCCAATAAGCATCAATTATACGTCCACATCTTGGGGTCTCACTGTAAATTTCTGTGGTTTTTCCAATCAACAGATACTACTAACAAACCAGTGCCACATGGGAATTATCCAGAAATTCGGAAACGCATAGCAACTGCTGCTTCTCATCATCATCAGCACTCAAGTAATAGTCCCATCAGCACCAACAGCAAAATTAAAGCCCAACGGAATTATCCCAGCAACAACAGCAGGAACAAGAGACAGCAGGGTTATGGACCTGCTCATCCCCCATCATCAGGACAAACAGGACTCGCTGCTGCTGGACCCGTTTACACATTCATGCGAACTGATCTCGCGGGGAATTACAAATGGGGCGTGAGGCACAGCATTCGCTAATTCATTCTACTACGCTATATCCTATTATATCCAACCCAAGATCTCCATCATCGTTTCCGTTTTTTCCTTGCATTTTATGAGATGCATATATGCTGTTATTAATGAGCTTTGTCTGAAGAAATTGTGTACACACAGCATGTGAGTTATTATGATTACAGCCGCTTAAATAAATAAATAAATAAATATATATAGTAAAGTGGACCAGTCTCTTTGGGGGCATGGGTTCAAATCCCACTGCTGCCACAAGTAAAGTGGATTATAAGTTTATTGTACTCCTTTTTGGATTCAGAGTAAGCTAACTCCTCTCACTCCAGAAGATCTAGGTTAACAAGAATAATTGACCTTCACTGGTCTTTGAAGGAACCTTTAATTAGAGGTTCCCCTACACTACAATATATATATATATAAATATAATTACAGTTGAACCTCAACAACTCAAACCTCCCTTAGTCAAATACCCTCCTAAGTCACTTTTTTTCAGGCCTCCATTGGAATATCCCCTTAGAATTAATACATTAAAAACCTCCCTAAGTCAAACGCTTTTCCCCTCAAACCTCCATAAGTTTAATTTTCTGTGGCCTGTTAGCTATTATTTTCTTGACAAGAAAGCAATAAAAACAGAAATTGATGTGTTTTAAAAGGAAGTGAAAGACTTTATTGGGCAAATAAACTCCTGCCTCAAAGTTCAGCATCCTTTCAACTCATTTAAGAAGCAATTTAAGTCCCAGAATATCACCATTTACCATTTTGGGCAAATTTTCTATGTTTCCCAGAATAAAAGGGGTTTGTATTGTAGCTCAATTAAAAACCTCCCAAATGAGTCAACTTTTTTGCTGGTCCCTGATATTTGAGTTAAAGAGGTTTGACTTAACAAATTTACTGGATTCAATACAACAAATTGATAATCAATAAATTTCTCTGCATGCAGTATAGTTTCTATGGAAGTATCTGAATTTTGCTGCAAAAATCTTGGGGAAAAAGTGAACAAAAATATGTGTACATAATTTTACTACTCAGAAGAAAATGAGAGTGAATATCATTTATGGATGGATTTGAAAATACCAGTGATGGAAGGAAACTCATATTTTTCCTATGGGGAAACTTTATTTTATTTTGCTGTGATAATTAGTTGTCCTGCTGTTTAGCTTACTTGCTTTGCTTGAAATGTTACGATTTTTCAGAAAATCCTAGTTTGAAGAAATAAGCATCCAATTTGTATGCTATATAATGTACAGACTACGAATGTACAGTATGATAAAATACTCTGATCGATTAAAAGATTGCGATCTACAAAATAATTTTCGCGTCACCAAAAATAAATAATCAGCTCATGCTGATTATTATTGTCGATTTCAGATTCCTCGATTCTTCAGTCAATTTGTGATATTATTTCCGACTCTATTTTTCGAATGATTGATATTTATTGCCGAATGCAGAATAAATTATCACCTCGCTGTTGCGCGTATATGTATATACGAGTCAAAATGCGATATTTTTTATTGTATCTCATTTACTCGAAAACGTCTTCGATCCAAATATAATGAACCAATCATCAACCATTGGTGAATTGTATTTACTGTACGAAGTCTGCTAGACAATCTAGGTGATCACTGCTGGTTGCATATTGCATACAACAACAAAAAGCAAACGGCGAAACACGTTTTTTTTATCGTTTGGCAAGAGCGCGTAATCAAGTACAGGAGTACTTGTGAAAACGTATCTATATAGATGTCCCTAGTTGAAAAAATCCTAATCCGGGTCGCATTTTAGTAATGTAGATGTCGTTCCACTTCCACGAAATAAACGAACTTCACATTTATGATTTGTGTGCTTCATTATTTCTGAGGTCCGTTACTAAGTAATATACAATCACATATTCGCTGCTGATCGATGAAAATATCGCGATTAGGACCAGAATAGAAAAGGACCAGGTTTTGTTAAGTTATTTCCTTTGGAACGATGAAAATCGGCGCTTTGCTTATTCGATGACCAGCATGAAATTAAAAGGACAACAGCAGCGCGACGGAATATGAGCTTCCATGAAGAACCAATATACTCGTATATTTACGCTGCTATAAATTGTGCGCAGGAAAAGGATTTGTCTCAATTCTATCAACCCGATATAAAATAAGCCTGGTCTTTATAACCAAATTTTTAAAATAAATAAATACCATATATACAGCAGTACCTCGTCATCGTAGTTATTGTTTTTCTGTGTCAAGTCCGAGGAGAACTCAGCAGCAGTGCTTCGAATAACGATACCTGCATGCTGCATGATGAGAGAAAGAAACGCGATTTTAAGTAAATGGTCCGCAAAACTGCCGGTCGTATGTGTGGGACAAACATCCTGAGCCACAAAAAAGTGAAATAATCATCCGGCGACCGGAAGTGGGTTTGCCAATTTCCACGACCCAGGTAGGTGTGAGTCAATATAACGTACATCAGTATAACTTTCACAGGAAGTCGCAAACTTCGGGCGTGAATTCTCAAGGACGAACGCGTCTCACTACACAGAGAAACAACAATTTTGATTTCATATTCATAAGCAAAATAATTGTATTTAAATTTCTATATTGTATTGTTGTATCTGCAGAATAATTTCAGACAATTTCATTTCGATGCAGAACGTACTTTGAATTTCAAAATTTCATATTATGAACTAAAAACTTGTGAAGTACTGTACTGCATGGAAGGCTCCTACATCTTGTGCTGGCCTTCAATCATGAAGAAATAATTTCCTTCATTCCTACACGACCTTATTTCCCTTAATCTAGATTAGTCGTTGAAAAAATTATTGGTAAGTTTTAATGCAGTAAACTTTTCATAATCTTTAAAATCGCAACCTTCTTTCATTTATTGGCATAAATTATATTACGCCTTATGGCTAGAAATAACCCCCGAAATCTATACTGTACTCATGTACTGTGTATACTGTATATTGAGGTGCCTCTATACAGCTGCTGTGGCCCATATAATGTACTGTACTGTACAGCTAATGTTGCCATAAGCTGTGCGGCTACATCAGCGCATCAATAATATACAAATAAAGTAATCCAAATATCACTGAATAAAAACGTTCTTTTACAGACCAAATCCCATCGAAAAATAAATTCAAGTAATAACTCATGGACTATGCAGGGAACGATTATTCCTGTACAGTATCCCTTCTTCTCCCCACATGCTAACTGGAGAGAGTTAGATTTTTTTCTGGTAATCATAATCATGGCCGCTCCAATATACTGTACAGTATAGTTATCTCTTGCGGACTGCAGAGACGCGCGGATGCGTCATGTACGGGAAGTGAACCTCGAACGATCGCGTATGTAGACCTGTGTTTCCTGTGTATAGGATGAGCTTGTGAAGTCTCATCCTTGGAAGGAGATTAAAAATTGAGAAGCCTCGCCGAGTCGGGAGAATTTTCATGTACAGTTTTCGCTTGGAGTCGAGCCAAAAAAGTTCCAGTATTCGGGCAATTGATCGCTTCTTTCGAATGAAAATCTCCGAAGCTGAGTACTCTCCCGGCGGAGTATTGGGCAAGACACGCAGCGTATGGCTCTTCGTGAATAATTCCATTATTCCACCTCGTGAAGTGAGTCAGTCTGGTGTCTCGTTTTTGTTTCTTTCGTGACGAAAACCTGTTTTTTTTTTTGTTCTGACGGTCTGGCGCCGCGGATCGTTATACGGAATGCGAAAAAAGAAGGCGAATGAACTTTGCCACACGCGTTGTATTGTTTTAGATTGCATCGTTTGAAAGAAAATAAGAGAAAGGACTTCGCGTGATCCATAGATATCCCTATACGGACTTTCTTTCTGCGGGGCCTGGAATGAGAGATGTACCATGAAGAAACATCCCCGGCTCTGAATTAGTAAAGTACTGTATAGCACTCATGTATATATGGAGTCCGTCTTTTCAAGGTCCGGCATCTGCTGATTCGGAAAGGTTTTACAGTATATTCAACTTGGTATATTTAGTGGCACATGTGCTCTGATTTGAATGTATGCACCAATCACGGTTATATGCAATTCTGAGAAAATTCGCCCTTTCTCCAATTAAGGAGAGAATAGCTGATGAATAAAATTGTGCGTTCTCATTTTTCGCTCACTCCAGTAATTTTTTGCTGGCAGATAATAATGCAAGATCACTCTCCAGTCTCCACCGATGAACCATTCAATTAACTAACAGCAATACTAATTCATAAAGAGATCTTGTTTGTTATTTATCCATGTAATCCACGATTTCAAACTACAGTACAGTACAGTACAGTTCTATAATTATAGGCCGTTTGATTTTCCCGAGGAATAAACGTCCATGAGCAACGTACATTATACGTGGTTTATTACCTCCGAAGTGCAATTCTGCCGCGTCAAGTACAGTATTTTGAACAGATGAAACTTATGTCCGAGGAAATGTGAATTGATCGGGCGGTATTACTACAATTTATATACAGTACTTCACCTACCTCTTGTATAAAATCATCATTGATATTCCTTTTATGCAAACGCAGGGTTACCTCTGGGTCATTAAAAATATTCATTTGACAGGGCAACGGTTCGAATAAATTATATGACGGAACCCGATAAAGTCCTATCATAATGCTGTATGCTGTCTCATCGCAAGTAAACACAGCAGGTTGACTCTTCTCTGCAACGAATTCCACGGACCGGAAAATAATTCGTTGTAGAGAACCCCGATAACGTGGTGAGAGAACATAAAAAATCGTCATATCGAGAAAATAATCGTGGAGAGAGTTCACCTTTTCTTTATGTGGGACAGAAGTTACAAAATTATGCATGAAGATTTAAATGAAACGTGATGGAAGAACCTTCTTTGTTGACCCTAAGTATATTTATCTTAGGGGTAAGCCTTCGAGTTAGGGAGGTTTTTCATGAATTTTCCTGAGGTAATTCAGGCAGGGGTTTGAAAAAATTCGACACGCGGAGGTTTGACAGGGGAAATTTTTGCTGCTCTTGTCCTTTTATCGACGTTGTTAATATCATCTTACGCCTCATGTGCACGGGATGTGAAACAAATAACGTTATAGTGAAATGATTGAATTCCCCCGCACGGGGACTGAGTTACACATACGCCTCGAATTCAGTACCAGTACAGTGAACGAATGACGTGACTCATGCTTCGGGGCAAGCCCTGAGAGTTCACGGCGCAGAACACCTTCAGCAGCAGGAAGTATTGCTCAACACGAACAAGGCGACTTTTTAAAGATTCCAAGAACGTCTGCAGCGATGACTCAACGCTTGCTGGGCTTCTGTGATGCTTGGAGTTCATAATTTGGACGCACCTGGAATGCTAATTTTCTCTCAGACGACGTGCTGTGTACTTCTGAATGTACAGTACTTCATGATATAGACCTATGTTCCCCAACCCATGGTCCGCGGACCTGCGCTGGTCCGCAGAAGTTTTTTGACGGTCTGCGGGAAATTTTCGGCTTAATACATTTCTCATAAGTAGGAATAAACTCTGTTATCATTATCGATAAATTTGGAAAGACTATGGTGGTTGAAATCATTTGATGAAAAGTAAAAAAAAAAATCATTTGAATTTTTCATTCTGAGAAACCTTTCTGCAACCCCACCTTTATAAGTTTTTGATGACATTCAGCTATAGCTGCTTCATAGGCATATTTTTGCAAGAAGCAGACAATTTTATATTTCTGCCATAAACTCTATCAATCAAAATTTTTTCAAGTCTGTAAAAATTTTATGAAACTTTGCCTGTCCACAGAATTTTTCTGGGAATTTGTGGGTCCGCCAAACATTTTATGGAAATTTGGTGGTCTGCAGACCCAAAAAGGTTAGGGAACACTGATATAGACCCATGTTTCCCAACCCATGGTTTGTGGACTGGTGCCAGTCTGCAGAAGGTTTTCTACCAGCCTGCAGGAAATTTTCTTCAGCATAATAAATGTAAAAAGTAGCCATGGAGTCTATTATCTTCATGATCTTTATGTCAAATTTATGAAAGACAATGGCAGCTGAAATTACCTGATGAAAAATAAAAGTTGGATTTTAAGGCACTTCAGAAATATGTTCACTTTCTGAAATGAAGGATTCTCAATTTTCATTCTGAAAAACCTTTCTTCAAGCCCACCTTTCTAATTTTTTGAAGACATTAGTATGACAGGATGGTTAGTGGTTTAATTGGTTCCTGATTTAATTTGTTCACAATTTTTTTTTAATACCTGCCATGAAGTCTTCCAAAAAAATTGTTTGAGTTTGCAAACATTTCATGAAACTTTGCTGGTCTGCAAATTTTTTCAAATTTGCCAATCCTGAAAAAATTGGAAACTTGCCAATCTGCAGGCTCAAAAAGGTTGGGTAGCAATGATATAGACTGTACACAGCATATTGTTTCTAAGATCGTTCCGAGTTGCTTTATTGCAATTTAAAACTGTCAAGGTTTTCAAGAAATACCGCATTTAAGCAAAAATATAAGCACCCTTTGATTATTTTCAACAACTTGTTGTGACGCTTTCCGTTCGTATTTCCGCGTACCCATAGATTATTTATACCGTGGCGTACTTAATGTACAGTATCTGAATCCCCAAAGGGCGTAGGAAATATAGTTCCCCGGAAAAGAAACCCTTGGGCCACCATGGCAAATACAGTACAGAACAAATGCGGTTTCATCTCCACGTGTTTTTCTTCCTACATCTTTTCCTGGATGATGCCATAGAAATGAAATTCCAATCAAGTGCATCTCCTTTCGCTGTTTGCCGTGAACCGGCTTATGCTGCATAAGTGATTGCAACAGCTCTGATTTCGCAATATATTCCCGCTTATATTGTGTCCGCTGATGAGAACGCGCTGGTCCCAGGATGATGTTACACAGCTTTACAGGATCAACTTGCTCAACTATTATCAAGGATACCAGCCGTAGAATCTCCGATAATGGAGTTGGTTGCAGGAAGCAGATGTTCATCGAAGGACCAGTTTCAGATGAGTCCATATTAGGTTAACTTCATATGTTGTCAAGAAAACTGACGGGGTCAGCGAGCAGTGTATCTTTAAATGCTGTGACGCAATGCTTTAATTCTTACAATTTTTCTATTTAATCTTTCCAAGGACCTCGTCTGACCTGCTGCTGGAGATTATTTAATGATTCTATCAGTTCTTAATATTACTTCTTGTTGGATGATGCGAAGGACGGAGTGGGAGATGAAATCTTGTCAGAATCTGAGTCTCAATATATTGAGTGGCTTCGAACGTTCGAAGTACATCTTTCATAATACGGTACATGTAATCATACATGCAGGTGCTCCAGTTATTGTGGCGCAACAATATAACAGCCTTTCGAAAGCAAAATGCTCGCATATCGGCTAGAATTTCTGTTTCAGATAACAGACCATGCTGCAGCGCCTGAGTGATGGTTTATGATTTTCTTTGATGGAAACACTACAGCAGTTGCTGTCGCGAATGTGGCAAAAATTGAGAAGAAGTTCGCCAAAATTCAATCAAAATTTTTTCTTCACTTCGATGCACACAAAATACCTTTGCGGAAGAAAACACAGAAGCTGCCATGCTTGGTTTGAAGAGAAGTCCAAAAAGACAACAAATAGGAAATATTGCCGAACTGTACATAGTTATTACAAAAAACCTTAAAAATATAAGCCCAATAAGCTTTGCCTTTTTTGGAAAATACATTGAAATGCATTTATAATTGTATTTCTTCGACTGCATGTCCATGGCAGTGCCACAATTTGTTTAAGAGGTAGTAATATTTTGAAATACTGCAAAACATTCTTTTCTGTAAATTTGTGGGTAAGAGACCAATGCATAAGTCCATAAGTTGAATTGTCCTTATGTGTGCTGGGCAACATCACAGTACACCGAAGTGTTCAACTACGGGCCTTCGTTCGAAGCCTGGTTCTCAAAGAAAAAAAAAATAAGACAAAAAAAAAGTTTCAAGTTCCAACAGTTCGAAGTCCTTGTTGGGAACGCCGTGTACTTCGGTTTGTGGAAAAAGCGAGGGAGTGCAGGAATGCGGTTGAAGTTGCAGGGAGTGATATGCGGTTCCCGTACATTGCCTTGCAAGGGTTGGTTTCCCTCCATGTGCATGGCGGTGGGTGCGAATGAATGCCGGCCGGCTGGCTTTCTTGTCAAGCCCAGGGTTGTCCGATATTGTCTGCTGCTAGCTACTTATAATGCTGTCTTACTGCTGGGAATTTCCCTCCGCGCTTACCGGGGTGGGATGCTTCGGCGGACATTTCCATGAAGCTTTCAGTTGTCGGTTAACCGGCTGAGCCAACGGTCGAGTCCTCGAATTTCAAACTTGCCCAAACCGTAGGGAATGTGAATTGAATAGGTCGCGAGATTTTTCTTGCGTCCGTGAAAAACCTGTGAAGCCGGGAGCGGTCCACGTCCGTGGATACCGTTGCGATTTTTAGAACGGCGTTCACTTCTGCGGATTATTGTTCAGTTAATCAGTGCTTCGGATTATGTTGCCTGGTTTTCGAGGTGTATTCGACCTCAGCAGTGAGACGCATGAAGGTTAGGACCTGGCAGGCGGTGCGATCATTCAGAAGGTTATGGTGCATTGCGTCGAGAATTTGCCTTAATCTCGTTTTTTGTGGCTCAATTGTAGAATCGGCGCGTTCAGCCACATATTCCCCATTTTATCCTGTGACGGCTTTTTTGATACATTTATTCCAAAATGCGTGAAATCGTGCACATTCAGACTGGCCAATGCGGAAACCAAATCGGCTCTAAGGTACGTTAAGAAGTATTTTGTAACCATTCTTCAATGCGCCGAAGTTAATTATGTGTTCACACTTGTTCGCTTAGTTTTGGGAGATCATAAGTGACGAGCACGGAATTGACCCAACTGGGGCGTATCACGGTGATTCTGAGCTGCAGTTGGAGCGTATCTCTGTTTATTACAATGAAGCTAGCGGTGGAAAGTACGTCCCTCGTGCCATCCTTGTGGACTTGGAGCCTGGCACCATGGACTCCGTCCGATCCGGACCTTTTGGGCAGATTTTCCGGCCAGATAACTTTGTTTTCGGTCAGTCGGGCGCTGGAAATAATTGGGCCAAGGGGCACTACACCGAAGGAGCCGAACTGGTCGACTCTGTCCTCGATGTGATCCGGAAAGAGGCCGAGGGTTGCGATTGTCTTCAGGTGAGGATATTTTTATTATTTTTTTCATTGGAGCAAGTGTTACTGATTCGAATTATACCGAGCAGGGTTTCCAACTGACCCATTCGTTGGGTGGTGGCACCGGCTCCGGTATGGGAACACTGCTGATCTCGAAAATCCGTGAAGAATACCCCGACAGAATAATGAACACATACTCCGTTGTGCCTTCCCCAAAAGTTTCAGACACGGTTGTCGAGCCGTACAACGCCACCCTCTCCGTTCATCAGCTTGTTGAGAACACAGATGAAACCTATTGCATAGACAATGAAGCTTTATACGACATTTGCTTCCGCACGTTGAAGTTGTCCACGCCCACGTATGGTGATTTGAACCATTTGGTGTCCTTGACAATGTCCGGTGTAACTACTTGCCTGCGATTCCCTGGTCAGCTGAACGCAGATTTGAGGTGACTAAGGAGTTTTGATGTTTAGAAAATGGACATGTGTTCTAATGGTGTTTTTTTGTGTGTGCAGGAAACTTGCTGTGAACATGGTGCCGTTCCCACGTCTGCATTTCTTTATGCCTGGTTTCGCCCCATTGACTGCTCGAGGAAGTCAGCAATACCGAGCCCTGACAGTTCCGGAACTCACCCAGCAGATGTTCGATGCCAAGAACATGATGGCTGCCTGCGATCCCCGCCATGGGCGTTATTTGACAGTGGCTGCCATCTTCCGTGGGCGCATGTCCATGAAGGAGGTTGACGAGCAGATGTTGAACATTCAGAACAAGAACACGTCATACTTCGTGGAATGGATCCCGAACAACGTGAAGACAGCCGTGTGCGACATCCCACCACGAGGTCTGCGCATGTCCGCTACGTTCATCGGCAATTCCACCGCCATCCAAGAGCTGTTCAAGCGCATTTCTGAGCAGTTCACTGCCATGTTCCGGCGTAAGGCTTTCTTGCATTGGTACACTGGTGAAGGAATGGACGAGATGGACAAGTGACTCCGTCTCAGTTTGTACTTGCTGAACCAAAGGCTTATAGTCGTTATGGTCCTTCGGTGTCGACTACTCCTCCCGCTGAAGCTCCTTCTCCTTCCGCTCCTTCTCCCGCTTTACTTGATTGCTTTTTTTTTCGTCAGTTCTGCGTCAAATTTTAATCATCCACCCCCGCGGAAATGTTTTCGAACTTGCTTTGCAGCCGTCCTAGATCTCATGTGCGATTTTAATCAAGTCGAAAGCTGGTTGCTTCGAAGACAATGCCTTCTCATGTTTCGCTCTGCCGCGTTTTAATACATTCCTTGTTTCCTCTGAAAGCCGAGTTGGAAATTTATTTCAAAGATTTGTTCGAATCAATTTTAAATTTTTTTTATTTTGATTCCAGATTTTTGATATTCTTTTGATTTTGTGATCTGTGAGAAATTAGCAATACCATAAATCATGGTGAGTCAATTTATTTCAACAATCAATGTGTTCGCCTCAATTAAATTCTTTTGCAGAGGGAGTGCATTTCCATCCACGTTGGACAAGCCGGAGTCCAGATTGGCAATGCCTGCTGGGAGCTTTACTGCCTGGAACACGGAATTCAGCCTGATGGCCAAATGCCGTCAGATAAGAGCTTAGGAGGTGGAGACGACTCATTCAACACCTTTTTCAGCGAAACAGGGGCTGGGAAGCATGTCCCAAGAGCTGTATTCGTGGATTTGGAGCCAACAGTAGTAGGTGAGTGATAGATTATCTCCGTACCTCGAGGTCCTGCACTTGCTCAGAAGGAATACAGTAAATGTTCAAAATTAATGAGTCGCCGAGCGTTTTTCGGAAAAGCCGTTTGCATCGAGATGAGAGAAAGTTTTTTTGAATTGGCAATGCTGAACTACATTTTAAGGAATTCTGTTGATTTTGTGAGTCATTTTTAACGAATTTGCATCTAATGCAAAATTTCTTCCAGACGAGGTGAGAACAGGAACATACCGCCAGCTTTTTCACCCTGAGCAGCTGATCACGGGGAAAGAAGATGGACGCTTGTTAATGCGAGCACCAGTAATGTGATAACCGTTCCTTTAGCACCTACAGCAGGACCTGTTCTAAGCATTTAACCGGCTGGTCACGTGCCCAGAGGTTCCTAAAGAACACAAGGTAAGGAACGGCGGAGGCACCGGGTCAGGTTTCACCTCGTTGTTGATGGAGCGTCTGTCTGTTGACTATGGCAAGAAGTCCAAGCTGGAATTCTCCATTTATCCCGCACCCCAGGTAGCGTTGAAATCCTAGTCCATTTATTTTTGTTCTAAAAATTTTGTACACGTAAATGAAAACAGCGCTTGATAGGTCCTTGATGAAATATATTGATTTTTGATAGGTATCCACTGCAGTCGTCGAACCATACAACTCAATTCTGACGACGCACACAACATTAGAGCACTCAGACTGCGCCTTCATGGTCGACAACGAGGCCATTTATGACATTTGCCGGCGAAATTTGGATGTGGAACGTCCGTCATACACAAACCTAAACCGAATGATTGCACAGGTCGTGTCGTCCATCACGGCTTCGTTGCGATTTGATGGCGCACTCAACGTAGATCTCACCGAATTCCAGACTAATTTGGTCCCTTACCCCAGAATCCACTTCCCTCTGGTCACCTATGCCCCCATAATTTCTGCCGAGAAGGCCTTCCACGAGCAGTTGAGCGTGTCCGAGATCACCAATGCTTGCTTTGAACCGGTCAACCAGATGGTCAAGTGTGATCCCCGACACGGTATGAATACAGATTCTTGTTCATGTTCATTTTGTACTGTATCATTGAAATGTTCGGGTGACTTTTATTTTTAGGGAAGTACATGGCTTGCTGCATGCTGTACCGAGGAGATGTTGTCCCGAAGGACGTGAACGCTGCAATCGCTGCGATCAAGACCAAGCGAAGCATTCAGTTCGTTGACTGGTGTCCGACTGGCTTCAAGGTTAGTTCACTACTCTTTATGACGTACCGAATCTCGAGTTCAAGTCTTCGATGACGTGGTTGATACTTTCGTGAGTGAGTTCTCGGGCTTTGCGATTGCTCAAGAAAGGCACGTTTTAATCGCCTGTAAATAAGAATAGTGCCAAAAATAATGGTCTCACGGCTGTTGAGCAATTCGTAACCCTCATTCACCTTATAATGGGATGTGCTGCTGGGGAAGACTGTCGATTTTCTACAACGCAACTTTCTTTTTGTAATACAGTTCATGGTGGTAAATTTAAATGCAGTAGTATAGGATTGTAGAATCGGGGTTTAAATGGAAAGTTGATGGGATTCAAGAAATACAATGGGTAAACAAATTTCTCGAGAGAAAAGAACGCCGTTCGCGTATACTGTATTGTGAATCCTACTTGAAGCTATATCATCTAATTACCTCCTGTTAACCTTGATGTGCTGATTGATGCACCCCAAACTTCTATCGAATATCGGCTCACTACAGTACGTTGGGTCATCCGTTGATTTATTTTGTTCAGTAAGTAAACGTTAAATAATCCCATTACAGTACTGTAGTGTTATATTATCTGGTCTAGGGGTATCTTTTCATTCTCCGAATAACCGATGCTTTGCTTCAATCGGGCCGAACGGGCATTGGAAGGAAAGGAGGGTAGTTAAACTGCGTAAGTCGAGTAGGGTTACGTGGCTCAGGACGTTGCCTTTCGATGGTGGCGTTCCTCGTTCGCAAATGCATGTCGGCGCTGGTTGCCTGTCTTCCCCAGGGTTGCCCGACACAGTCGGCACTTACCAAATAAGCCCTGGGAATTTCCCTCGTTCTAACGTTCGTACGTCCTGAGGCCAAGATGTTCTCATACTAGACCGCATAGAATTTCCAGCTCAGATTTTATTTTCTCTGTCCATTTTGTAGGGAATAGCCGGGCTTGCGCAATTATGAACGGACTGTTGGCTTTTCAAAATGTTGAGTTGTCCCGAAAATCATAAAATACAGTTCAGTATTTTAAAATTGGTCAAGTGCTTTTTCTTCGCCAGGTTCTCCGATCGCCTTCTTTCCCCGCCTTGAGTCTTTTCCTGGTGTACAACTATTCTAGAATAGCCACACGCATAATTTTTAGGAAAGGTTCATATGATGTTCATCGAGATTCGCGGTTAGTTCCCATAACGTTTATTGCAGTGCGAATTTTGAAGATTGGCTCCCGTTTTTCGTTGTTCGTGATTCTTTTCACCCTACGGATTTTACTAACGCTGGATTATCCCAGGGTTAATCGGTTTTTTTTTTTGGAAATCACCGGAAGTTCACTGAACTTCTGCTTACTCTGCAATCCAACATTCCTCGCTTCACCGGATATTCGGAAGGGAAAAATGCGGGAAGTGCTCATTTGAGGGTGTGGTGTTGCAGGTGGGCATCAACTTAGTCGGCGGGTGCCAACACGGCCCACGACTGGTTCGGTTCCAACGGGCACGGCACACGTACAACAGGTTATGCTGACGGTAACGGCTCCGGACCCCAGCAGACCTGGTATTCAAACTGGACTACATCGCCAAGAGGGCCTTTGTTCACTGGTACGTGGGTGAAGGTATGGAGGAAGGAGAATTCGCTGAGGCTCGCGAAGACATGGCGGCTCTGGAGAAGGACTACGAGGAGGTCGGGCTTGACTCCGTCGAAGAGGGCGAAGAAGGCGGCGATGAATATTGAACTGTAAGTTTAAAAGACATCTTGAAAATATATCTGGGTTTAACGGTCTTTTTAATTCGATTTTTCAGGCAGAAGCTCTGAAAACGGTTACTGGCTTTTGAGCAGTGGAGCTGAGCGCGATTTCGTAGCTGAGTACGCGTTTCAAGTTCTGTTGGTTCTTGCGAATTTGGTCTCTTTTTTAATTTTACCGCATATCTCGTGTTGTGTCCTCTCCAGCGACGCGGTTTTTCTTTTTTTCTCCGAACGTAATTGCCATTTTTCCGGTTCGATTGCCCTCATTAAATTTATTGAAAGCATTTTTGGTGTCCTTTTTCATACTTTTCAAATGTGATGAAACGATTTTGCAATTATCCTCCCGTTTTTCCTTTAGATCTTTTGTGTATTTTTATTTACGTTCTTCGATCAGCATCTAAATCGTTTCCAGGAATCATGGTGAGTTTCAACGAGATTAGATAAGTTTTTTTGTGATGACTAATTACTTCGATGGCAATTTTCAGAGGGAAGTTATTTCCGTACACGTCGGTCAGGCGGGAGTCCAGATTGGCAATGCCTGTTGGGAATTGTACTGCATGGAACACGGCATTATGAATGACGGGCATATGCCTTCAGAGAAGATGGACGGCAGTCGAGACGATTCTTTCACCACATTCTTCAGCGAAACCGGAGCTGGCAAACACGTTCCCCGCGCTGTGTTCGTTGATTTGGAGCCAACTGTTGTCGGTAAGCAATTTATATACGCCTAAGTTAGCATTTCTATTTACTTCAATCATGATGGTTTTTTCAGACGAAGTAAGGACTGGAACATATCGTCAGTTATTCCATCCGGAACAACTGATCACGGGTAAAGAAGATGCGGCAAATAACTACGCCAGAGGGCATTATACGATTGGCAAGGAAATCGTGGACCTCGTGTTGGACCGTCTGCGTCGCCTGTCGGAGCAGTGCACTGGACTGCAGGGCTTCCTTGTGTTTCATTCTTTCGGAGGTGGCACTGGGTCTGGCTTCACGTCGTTGCTGATGGAGCGTTTGTCCCTTGACTACGGAAAGAAGTCCAAGCTTGAATTCTCTATCTACCCGGCCCCCCAGGTAAAATATAAGCAGATAAAACATTGACCTTCAGGTTCAAATGCCAATGATGCGTTGAACTGTTTTCCGAATCTAAACGATGGATTTTGACGCTTTGAGACGGTGAGTTAGTTTAGACAAGTCAAACTGTGCTCTGATTATGACCAACGTTGTAGAGGACAATACATAGATGAAAATTTGTAAAATCGATATTCTGTGTTTTGAGGGACCACTTTTCCGAATCGTTCTATTGGCTCCGTATTTTCGAAGAGATGTTTTTTGGGGAACACTTTTTCCGAGTTTATGCGAAGGTAAATCTTTCTATCTGATCGCGTGTCTCTGTTGGAGGCGGAGTAGATTAGAACGAGATTGTTTCTGAAGCGATGTCTTGGTTCCGTCATTAGTAGGAATTCATATCGTCGGGAGGTTTTTCACGCTTGATCGATATTGCCACGCTGTACAATGCCTGCATTTTCAGGTGTCCACTGCTGTCGTTGAGCCGTACAATTCCATCCTGACGACCCACACAACCTTGGAGCATTCGGACTGCGCGTTCATGGTTGATAACGAGGCTATTTATGACATCTGTCGCCGGAACTTGGACGTTGAGAGGCCATCGTACAGTAACCTCAACCGATTGATTGCTCAAGTCGTGTCTTCCATTACGGCTTCCCTGCGTTTTGATGGTGCCTTGAACGTTGACTTGACCGAGTTCCAGACGAATCTGGTGCCTTATCCGAGGATCCACTTCCCATTAGTTACCTACTCGCCGATTATTTCAGCTGAGAAAGCTTATCACGAGCAGCTCAGCGTGTCTGAGATTACCAATGCCTGCTTTGAGCCAGTTAATCAAATGGTCAAGTGCGATCCGCGTCATGGTATGTTCTGGAATAATTTTCGCGCTCTGGAAGCAGGAATTGATATATTTTGTGCGTTCTTTGTCTTCAGGAAAGTACATGGCTTGTTGCATGTTGTATCGAGGAGATGTCGTGCCGAAGGATGTGAACGCTGCAATTGCTGCTATCAAAACCAAACGCAGCATTCAGTTCGTCGATTGGTGTCCAACTGGTTTCAAGGTGGGGATTAATTACCAGCCCCCGACGGTTGTCCCAGGGGCAGACCTGGCTAAGGTGGCTCGGGCCGTCTGCATGTTGTCGAATACAACGGCCATTGCTGAAGCCTGGGCACGACTGGATCACAAGTTTGATCTGATGTATGCGAAGCGTGCATTTGTGCACTGGTACGTGGGTGAGGGAATGGAAGAAGGTGAATTTGCGGAGGCACGAGAAGACATGGCTGCGTTGGAGAAAGACTACGAGGAAGTTGGCCTTGACTCTACTGAAGGGGAAGAAGGCGGAGAGGAGTACTGATGATACATCACGAGTGTCCGTTTGGAAGAAGAATTTTATTTTGCCTGCTAGATTTTATTTTGCTTCACATTTTACATGTGTTGTCGGAACGATTGTGAGTCGCGTATGGGTCCTTCTGCTTATCAGTTCGCAGCGTCGTTGCTTGAGCTAGCGAGCTGCTTGGCGAAGTCTGTTGCGCGTAGCTTTTTTGCGAGGCAATATAATGTGGTTGAGAAAAGGCCCAGTTGCAACTCGAATTCGTGACGGTGCTACTGCCTAAGTCTCGGTCCAGACAAGTATTGTGAGTCGAGTAGTGATTCAGTCTTCTTTTTTCTCCAGAAGTACGGCTTGAAACTGCTTTAGATCCGTTACCTGGTTTCGTGTCCTGAAAGTGAGAACGTAATCATTGCCTAGCCTTATTTTTTACCCGCGAATTCCGGCCCCCTTGAGCTGATCCTGTGGAGTAGAACTCCGAATAAAAAACGATTGTGTTGACGCCCTGTGTTCGTCTTTGTCGATATAAAACATTAAAAGCTTGTTTCATACTGAAGGTTGTTCTAGATTGATCGTTCTAGATTGTTCTGAAGCCCGAGTTGGGATGCTGAAAACCTGAGTGACTTCCTTTTGTCTCAAGCAACCATGGATAAGTGATCTCGGTACTGTACTGTAGTACCAGAGCAGGCGTTATGGAGTTCGTTTTTGGTGAAACTGCGTGACATTTGATCCTGTTAGTAGCCTTATGCGCATGGTGTCATGCCTTCGAGTCATCCTGTTTTTTCACTTAAATCTGCCTTCAATGTGTGAGTAAATGTCATTCGAGTTTCTGCACCATGTAGTCACTTGGTGAAGGACAGGTGCCTGTGGGTTTGACAGGAATCTGCTGTTGATTCAAATTGTGTTGCTTATTCTAAACTGCTGATCTGTCCATGCTCAAGTCATGAGAAACCCTTGTTATTTTGTGTTAATAGTCAGTTTCAGAAAATTTTCGAAGATTTTTCGGTGTTATTTTTTAAATTGATGAGTGACACCTACCCCGAATATTTCTTTTGAAGAAGACAGTCGCGGGAAAAGTATTAGAAGGGTGCCGCGCAGCACGTAACAATCGTAACTGGTAAAGCAAACTTCATTTCCAAAAACTCTATTTTAGAAAAAATGATAATCTTCGAAGGATTGAATCATCGAACGGAAGGAGAAATTATTCAATATTGTCATGCCTTCATGTTATCAACATCCCAATATTCCTAAAGCGCTGCACATTTCCCGAAGTATTTCCTTAAATTGGCGTCATGTATTTTCAGGCAGTTGCTCATCACAGGATATCGCATATATTTTTATTTTTTAATTCCTGATGTCAATATCGTGACTTCAGGAAGACGGGTAAGTTGTCTCTAATCCGCTTTCATTTCCAGTTAAAATTGAATTGTATTTTAAATGAAGTATAATTTGAGAGCTACTTGTTAGTTTCTTGCCGTTCGACTCGCAATTCCCACATGCTTAATTTATAAAGCATCGATGAATCCGTGTTATATTGCATGCTAAAAAAGTGTAATTATGAACAATGGTTGTGCATATTTGGGTTTTAATTCTTCTATAATACAATTTTCTCGTATGCACGTGCAACATTTATGCCATCATTGTTCCCGATTGCATCTTCAGCAGATGATGAAGAGTGGGTTATGGTTTCGTCTTTCCATTCCTCATCTCATATGTCGTGTCCTTTCGTTTGCCCACCCGTGACGTCCAGCAGCAAAAGCCAACACATGGGTGATACATGTAAGAGGAGCATGAGAAAAACGCGTCACGGATTGTGACAGGCTAGATGTATGTTTTTGCGAATATACGAAGCCGCACATTTTGAAGTCAAAAAGACGACGAGTTCATTATATTGCACATATTCTTTGGAGTCGAGCCAGACTTTATTCGGAGCCATGTGATCGATCTCTTCTTCGAATCCGGATGAGTGTGTATATGTGTACATGCATTTATATGCGAGTACAGTACCGTACCTGTGTCTGTGTTCAGCTGTATGGTTGGGCCGGAGCCAAAAGTGCGCTTTGTGAATAATTCCATTATTCCGCTTCCCTGATGGTGCTGTTGAGTCAGTTCGTATTTATGTTTATCTTGCATGGAAAACACCTGTCGCTCGATATTCAGTGGGTCTGTTTGAATTTCCTGGCATACGAAGCACGATTTTCCTTGAGGTCTTGTATTTTAAATAATAACTTAACATGTGTGCATCTGTTCAAAAAGAGATTTTCCATAAGCGTATTGACTGTATTGTACTTGGGGAAAAAACTTTTTAGAATTGTCAACTAGTTACTGGTAATATAGCTACCTTGTCTTTCGGAAAAAAAACCCCTCCGGGAGTTTCTCAAAAATTTGATCTATTTTATTGTTTTATTTTACCTCCCCTTTCATGAAAAATTCTGCGGCTTTCTCAACTGTTTGAATCATATTTTTTTCATTTTTTGATTTTATTCGTTTTTTTTTGCTTACCTTTCACTGCTTTCAGAATAACTTGGAGTCTTTCTTGAGTATTTTATAGCTACTTTACCTGTAGGAGAAAGCTTTCTGAAACTTTCTCAACTACTGTACAGTATTTTATAGCTACCATATCTTTCAGAAAAAAAGCCTCTCTGAAACTTTCTCAACCATTTTATAAATGAATTACCCCTCGTATTGGCACCTTTTATCATGATCATATGAGTTTTAATTTGGTGGATGTTTTATAGTTACCCACTGCTAGTTTTTCAATAGTGTTGACAGTCCTAAAAATATTTTTGTTCAAACATTTTGAAACTGCCGGAACGAAAGAAGACAGCACTAATTATGATATTGATGGGCGTAACTTGTTCCACCGGAAAATGTTGTTGACATACTTAAGTTACGGATATTATTTTTCCGGAAGCTTTATTCTTTTAGAGATTTAAAACTCTCTTTTTACGAAGCAAGATTATTTTTTTCAAAACGTTTTCAAAACACCAGCATTTTTAGTGTGAGAAAGTTCACTTAAAAAAAAACATGATCTCAGTAGAACACATTTTTTTCAGTTCAGTGACCATTTTTTGAGCCCCTTTCCCGTTTTGGATTGGAATTCCACCTGTGTATATACCGTGTAATTTATTCCATTTCTGCCTCTGAACAGGTTGTTGTCGTCGTGGGCTATTTTAAAATCGACGTCCGCGTCGTTTTAATCGTCTCACGTCGGAAGGGCTGAAATAATTTAAATTGCCCACGGGGCGAAACGGAGTTGAATGCAAGTTTAAAAACCAGTACTCGACGTGAACTCCGCAATAGGGAGACTGCATATGTAATATGACGTGACTCACGTTTTCGGGGCGAGCCCAGAGTTACCATCGTCATATGGAGTTGCCCAACACCAAGGAGACTCTTTAGAGATTCCTCCGACGTCCTCGGCGATGACTCAACAGCTTGATCTTTGATGGCTTCGGGACACGCATTGAATGCTAATGCGCCTCATTCCGGGGCTTTAACAAAATATTTTAAAACCATCTATTTGGGATGCTTCCCAAAGTTTTTAGTCTGTTAGGCAAGCAAATTAATCATTAATTCTCTTGATATCTTCTAGAGTTTCACCGAATACTAAAAACCAAATGACATGCCTTATGAAGGGTTTGTAAAGACTATTGCAGGTTAAATATAAATAGTCAAGCTGGTAAATTGCAGAACCTAATATCATCAGAAGAATTGTTATTGATTACACAGTTGAAGTAAGAGTTTTTAAGTAGTTGTTGATCTTATTCTTGTGAAATACATCCTTACTTCTTAACCCTGGAATTTCAAGAAGGAATTCTGGCCCCTGTCCTGGGCTCATTACTGCTTTTCATTTATGCACTTACTCTTTCTGATCCAGCTTTATACTAGATTATATTGAGGCAACATCTGTCCCCAATAGAATCAATGCTGTCACTTGGAAAATGTGCACTCAGACGTTGAAAAATGAACTGATGATGAGGAATGTGACACTGGTGATGAGATGGAGTAGCTTTTAAGAGGATTTGTGCAGTACTTTGAACTAGTGTTCTAGAGAATTTTTTTGCTGGTCCGCAAGGAATTTTTTAAGCATGATTAATTTTTGAAAATTAGCAATGAAGTCTTATTTTCACCAAAAAATTTCTGAAAGACAATTACAGTTGAAATAATCTGATGAAAAAGGAAAGCTGGCGTTTCTCCTAATAACCCTTCAGACACATTTTCACCTGCTTAGAGAAATTATTTTAATTTTCATTCTGAAAAACCTTTCTTGAAACCCAACTTTCTGATTTTCTGAAGACATCCAGTTATAATAGCTGCTTCATTAGTGGTTCTTAATTTAATTTTTGCAGAAAAATTTTCAAAATCTGCCATAAAGTCTTTCAATCATCTTTTTTGAGTCTGAAAAACTTGTCTGAAACTTTGCAGGTCTGAAAAATTTTCATGGAAACTTGCCAGTCCGTGGACCCAAGAATGCTGTTTCTTTGACTTCACCCCGGGGTTGTAAACCTTTTACCACTGAGAACTTTTATATCACTCTGGGGGTGTACGTCTCTGGAACTGTACACCTATTAAGTTGGATGTCTGTGTATAAAAGGACGTCTTTTTCGCTAAAAAAGGCTCTACATGTGGACATTGTGTGCTGAAATTGCAAATAAGTTTCAGACCAAATTACAAGAAACAGATATTCCCAACCCTGATATCTATGTAAAAAAAATTCTTTGGCATTTCTCTGATCATTTTACCATCCATTTAGCAAATTCTAAAAATTCCCTCCAGCATAGAGGGACTTCCTTTTCTATTTTTGTCTTGGATTTCATTTTTTATAGAGAATGCCAATTGAGTTGAAGATATTAATTGAATCAGTTTTAATTGGCAGACATTTTTCATGGAATTCCAATGAATATTTCTTCTACAAAAAACCAATAAAAATTATATAATGTAAGTCTAAGGAAAATGGGGCTTGACTTGGGGACATTTTGACTTTGGGACACTCTTGAATCTTGATGCACCAATTATGTCTGCATCTTGGGGTATCATTGTAAAAGATAAGTACAGGTAAACTCTCTTGACAAGGTGCTTGCTCACAAAGACTTTATCTGCACAAAAAATTTATTTTTTAGTCCCATATATAGGCATACAGTATAGGATTATCTTCCAGTGTTATAGGGATTCTCTACAACAAAATTCTCTCTACAGCAATTTTTTGGTCCATTGCATTACATTGTCAAGAAAAAGAGAGTCCACGTGTATTTTGTGACATTTGGAGAATATATCAGGATATTTTTGCAGACTTGAAGGTTTGTTGGTTTAAGAGAAATTAAAATTTTCAAAATGTGTCCAGTTGACATTTCACCTTTAATCACAAAACCTACAGATTTGTCTTTTTGAGCTTGGGCATTGTCAAGATGTTAGTAGAATGTTTTTCTTCACTATTTTTCTATTGATTTCCAGAATGCCCAGAAGTAGATTTTTTTTTTGTTTTAAAG